AACGTTTAAGCTTCATCTGTACGTTAATTGTATTACAAAATTTGGACGATAAAAAGATTGACAGTTGGAACTATTTTCAGAATAAACATAGATGCTGCCTACATGACATTGATAAAGCGCGCGCGCATTCATTTGTTATTGAGACAATGTATCACAAGCGTACTCGTGTTCGGAATATATGCGTGTCATACGTATAATGTAACTTCTAGGCTTCTGAAATTCAGAAGCAATATTACATTCCTCACATTACAGTGATCCCAATTATAAACACATTATACGTTTGCCTGGACACCACACCACACCCTGTGGATACTCTCAACAGATTTGGAATATACAGAAACAAGCAAATCACATTTTTATATATTAAAAATATACTTTTATTATAGGCAGTCACCAGAAGAAAAAACACTATGGCCCATGCGAGGCAGGTCCTAATTTACACTTATTTACTCCATTATCCCAGCAATTGATCAAGCTGACCATATATATTTGTTCAGTGATGTTACTTTGTAGTTTCCCTGAACACGGGTTGCCAACCCATACACACACACACTAGTAATAATATGTTCTGTACCAAGACAAATTAACATACATGATGTATGCCTGCTGACAGGTGTATATGCGCAGGCGATGAGTCACAATAACGTGGCTGAAGTATGTTGACCAGACCACACACTTAGAAGGTGAAGGGACGACGACGTTTCGGTCCGTCCTGGACCATTCTCAAGTAGATTGTGCTTGATTGATCGATTGATGAAGATTAAGCCACCCAAAAGGTGGCACGGGCATGAATAGCCCGTAAGTGGTGGCCCTTTTGAGCCATTACCAGTATCAATAGATGATACTGGAGATCTGTGGAGGTGCGACTGCACCCTGCGTGACGGGAGATGTCTCCCGTGGATTGTGCTTGGGAGTACTCAATCACAAGTACTTGGGAGTTCTCATCACACGTACTCAAGTCTCATAAGACAATCGACTTGAGAATGGTCCAGGACGGACCGAAACGTCGTCGTCCCTTCACCTTCTAAGTGTGTGGTCTGGTCAACAGGCGTATATGCACAAGAGCCTGAGAGGAGAGCACACACACCACACGGAGGCGTAGGTGTACAAAAACTGATGCTCACACTACAAGCAGCCTAGCTACACTACCATGAGGGAGGTCGTCTAATAAGACAAACATGCCTGATAAGAAGATACCATACACGGTGCACACCGACACACAATAAATCAAGACGGAAGTACGAGATGTAAGAAAACGAGACAAAGAGGTTAATCCGGAGGACAATTATCTTTCTGTAAACTTAGTAACCAAGTTTTGTTTTATTTGTGGTGGGGGGGGGGGGCAAGAATTGACTGTCATTGAAACGGCCACACATCATCTCCCACGGGCTTTAATTCTACTGTTAGAAATGTAATTATTCCGGCTGTTTAAAATGTGGACTAAATATACACCGCTTTGTGCATACGAAATTAAAAAGCGTGGCGGGGCTTGTAATATGGCGGTGCGTGCGGACTGTTCATGGTCGGGTGCGTGGCCGGCCCCAGACCGCGCCACTCTCGGTCCTGCGTAAGGTCGACACTGGTCTGCGGCCTGGACCGTATACACCATCTCCTTGGAAGAAATTCCTGCCTAGTGTCCTCTTACTTTAAGAACCATAGTCCCTTTGCCTCAGGGTTTTTGACGGGTAGTCAGCAGCGCGCCAAGCCTAAATCGATGCTATTCAGAGTTGGCGTAAGAGCGAGTTTGCCGTCAAGAGTTGATGGTGTGTTCTCCTTGTAGCAAGTTGTCTGTAATCAGCCTGGCGTCGTGAGGTCCCAGCGCTGACGGCTGGGAGGAGGGGGATGGCGGAGGGGCAGGACACAGGGAGGATAGGTAGTAATATTTGGGGGAAGCTAGAGGGGAAGAGGCGGGTGTAGAAGAGAAGTTCAGGTTAAAATGGGGCGGGGGAGCGTCATGGGGGAAGGGATAGGGAGGTACTGAGGTGAGGCATTTGAGGCGGGATAGTAGCAGAAGGAAATTGGCAAGAGAGGCATTGAAAAGAAACCTATTCTCTGCCTCCAGCCAGGTGCTCGTTACAGTATCAATATGTCTCGGAGGCAAGACGAAAAATAAGCTATGTTTATTGTAAAGCATGTAGGCCTACTCTACTACACCAATATTTATTTATTTATAAAATCAATAGGAGCCACGAGGAGGATTCGAACCTGCACATTGAGTACTCCCAAGCACATGCCTTAAACCACTGAACCATTACATGCTCAAAAGCAATGACATATTGAAACATGGGTTTCAGCATAATTCTCTCTGGGTCCTGAGGTTTCCACTGAATCCAAATCAGGGTTTCACTCATTGCCCGCATGCACTTTGTAGTATAGGAGTTCTACCTCCAACGCTTTTCTTTAACCGATTTTCTCATTGATACATTACATTAATGCGATTCCATTGTGCATTTGAAAAGAAGCATTGGAAGTAGAACTTGTATATCACAGTAAGAGTACATGTGAGCAATGAGTGAAACCCTAACTTGGCTTCAGTGGGAAGTTTCAGTATCCATTAGAGGATTCAGTTGAATTCCAGGTTTCATAGCTTTTGAGCATGTCATTGTTAAGTGGTCTAAGGTGTGTACTTGGGAGTACCCAGTATGCAGGTTCGAATTCTTTTCATAGCTCCTATTGATTTTCTCACCGATACATTACGTTAGTGATTTTTTTGTACAATTTTTTTTATCGTATAACAGAAGCATGTAGGCCTACTCTTACTATGCTAATATGACAGGTTCTAAAGCAACAGCTAGTGTCCTAAGGTGCTTACCTTTCAATAGTGAATAAGTGTATAATGTATAATACTGATACCAAATACAGTACCTGTACCATAGAAATTTAGTACAGTCGACCCAAATAATAATACAGTATAATTCACTGTGTTGGGGGACAGGAATATATACAGCCAGTGTATATATTCATGTGCTTATATTGAGCTCCCCCAAGTCAAATTACTGACCCTCCCCAGGATGTAACTCTGCTACAACTGGGTTACCTTGAGATGAACTCGGGGCTTAGCGTCCCCGCGGCCCGGTCCTCGACCAGGCCTCCACCCCAGGAAGCAGCCCATAGTAGCTGTCTAACTCCCAGGTACCTATTTACTGTTAAGCAACAGGAGCATCAGGGTGAAAGAAATTTATTGCCCATTTGTCTCCGCCTCCACCGGGGATCGAACCCGGAACCTCCAGACTACGAATCCGAAGTGCTGTCCACTCAGCTGTCAGACGCCCCAGGCGGTACCTGTTTACTGCTAGGTGAATGGCTATTTGGTGACCAAAGCACACCTCAGCCACATTATTGTGACTCATTGTCTGCAGGGGCATAAGTGATAGGGAACGTGCTCAACCGTTTCGATCCTGCCCAGATTTGAATCAGGAATTCCTGATTATGAATTGAGAATGAATTAAAAAATTTTGCAAGGCAGGAGACATACATTTTTTTTCACTACTGATGATCCTGTTGACTTAACAGTACATAAGCACTTTGGAGTTAAGCAACTGTTGTAGGATGCATTGTGGAGAAGATCAGATGCTTGCATAGGAAAACCTATACTGTATTCAACAGGGGTATTCTGCACATCCTGCCATACCTTCTGGTCACATCATGAGACCAGAAGGCATGGCAGGATGTGCAGAATACCCCTGTTGAAGAACAGAGGTGCAACAGGTACTCTGAGAGAGAGAACTATCAACATCAGAGGCCCGAGAGTGTTCAACACGCTTCCACTACACATAAGGGACATAACTGCCCGACCCCTCACAGTGTTCAAGACAGAACTTGAAAAACACCTCCAAAGGATACCTGATCAACCAGGCTGTGACTCAACCGCATCCAACAGCCTAGTTGATCAGTCCAGCAATGAGGAGGCCTGGTCAACGACTGGGCCGCGGGGTTGCTGATGCCCGAAATCATCTCAAGGTAAACCTTGGTAAACTTAACAGGCTTCTTGTCCCTCAAACAATGAGAGATCAGGACACCTGATCACTGTACTTCACCAGTAAAGAAGTACAGTAATGAATTACTTTACATAAGTACGTGCAAAATTGTTACAATTTTGTTATGGTTCATTATTATTAATCAGCATTAAGAGTTGTATACATCTGGTGTGATATCTGAAAAATACAAAACTATATTTTCCTTTTAAATGCACGAACAAATAAGATACTTTATAGTGTTTGATTTTTTATCAAATTTATCAAAATTTCATCTGGTGTACTTTATCATTAAGGATAATAGGGCAAGTAGTAAACACACTTCCCTGTGCTTCATGAGTGATTTAGTCTGGGTTAAAGTCCTGGCCAGGGAGTGTTAACTAGGCACCAAGTCTTAATTGTTTGCCCCTGTTCACCCAGCATAAATTGGGTGCCTATTTGTTGACCAATTGGCATATCGTGTGCCTGGAAATCTAGAGGGCAAGCTTGCTAACAAGAGTCAGAAAGCATCTGTTTCTGTACTTGCCTCTGTAAGAAAAATAGGAGAAATTATATATACTGCATAAAGCTTTTTAAGATTTGGTCAAAATGCTGTAGGTGTTAGTGGTTTTGTGAGAATGTGCCAATTAATCACCAAAACCTGTGACAATCCATTATTCCTTCTTAAATATAAATATCACTTATTTGTGTACATTGTACAAGAATGTATAGTTCAGTAATTACATACTTTACCATCAATAATAGTTTTTTTTTTAAAGCTTGGTTATCTTGAGATGGTTTCAGGGCTTAGTGTTCCCGCGGCCTGGTCCTCGACCAGGTCTTTTTTGTTACACATCCCCAGGAAACAGCCCGTAGCAGCTGCCGACTCCCAGGTACAATACCTACTTACTGCTAGGTGAACAGGGCCATCAGGGTCCAAAATGAACAGAGTACATCAGCATCCAAAGTCATTAGTATTCACTTACCTCATGGTGAAATAAACTTGTTTGCCATTTGCTTCCATAAACAAAGCTTTATTCTTTTCAGGAAGTGTCATGTGATGTTAGCGTAGCTGCAGGAGAGGCTGACCGCCAGGAGTTTTCCTTCACCCTCTATGACTTTGATGGTCATGGCAAAGTCACCAAAGATGTAAGTTAAGCTTCCTTTATGAGTTTCATATAGTCATATAATATTCAGAAGCTCTAATTACAAAGTTTAAGGATAACTTACTGTATTCATAGAAATATTTTCCATTTTACAAAAACATCAATCAGTCGGATTAAAAAAACTATGTTTACAGGAGTTGACCAGACCACACACTAGAAGATGAAGGGACGACGACGTTTCAGTTCGTCCTGGACCATTCTCAAGTCGATTCTCAATCGACTTGAGAATGGTCCAGGACGGACCGAAACGTCGTCGTCCCTTCACCTTCTAGTGTGTGGTCTGGTTAACTTACTTTAGCCACGTTATTGTGACTCATCGCCTGCATATGTTTCCAGGATATTGCTGGGCTGGTGCGAACCATATACGAGGCTGTAGGATCTTCCTTATCTCTTCCTCCAAGTGGGTCTCGAACCATTCGTGTCAAATTAACTGTTGCCCCCGAAAATTACCGAGGACGTCAGCAAGACTGCCAGCAGGATGCAGACGAGTGCAAAAAGGGAGATGATGACATTGACCCTTGTGAATATCCATCAGGACGCAGTCACCGAAGACGAAAAGCACGAAGGCGATCCACTTCACTTCAAAGACATGAGCTACTTCAAATAATTCAGGCAAACATGGAAAAGAATAACCTCTTTTACACTCCATTACATCGTCGGCATGACCATCATCACCACGATCATCATCATGATCATCAGAATCGCAGACGTCGCCGCCACGGGTGTGGATGCGACCACAGTGGGTCACCACCTGATCCAGCAGAGGTAAAAGCTAGACTACTAGAACCAGAATGCCCATGCCGGCACACCCACTACCACAGTCATACCCACGGCCCAAATAGCACTTCCAGATCCACAGGTTGCAGACGACATAATCGTTCTCACTCCCATGACCTTTCACATGACTCTCCGCATGTGTTTCGTTATCATTTGCTTGATAAAACTTTTCAGCCTTTACCTCCTTCAAATACTCCTGACCAACCACCATCTCCACCACTAGCTCACAATCCCCATAACCATCCCCAGCATCAGTATCAATACCAAACTAGGCACTATCATCACCATCATCGCTCAAGGTCCTTTGATGCTGGAGATACTCAAGGCTCTTCCCCGAGAGAGAGAGGTGGAAGGTTATCTAGAAGCCAACAACAAAGCCAATCACAGTCACAAAAACAACCAAAAGAGCAACTAGAAGCTTCACCACAATCAAAACAGGAACACCAGGGTGGCAGTGAAGTGTCTCCTCATCACACAAAGCATCGCCACAGAGAAGCCGACCATGCACGTGCCATGGCTCAAGTGGTATCTTGGTTAGAGAGAGGTACGCTATTAGAGTCTCAGAAATCTACTCCATCTGGTGAAAGTGGCGGTATTAATGGTGGAGGTGGCAGTGGCGCATGTCGGGAACAGACCCATCACGTTCATCAACACATTCATCACCATTATCATCATTATGCAGACAAACAGCCACCGCCTGTGCTTATTTGAGATGACCCTCACTGCACCTCGTCTAACATTACATTGAGTGTTATTATTACATGTTAACAATAACTAGAAGTGTATTGGTTAAACCTTTTTTGTGACAACACAAAATAGAGAACCAACCTTCCTGTTAATCCATCCAGTAATGTTTGAGGGTGCAGAATTGTAATTTTTTCACTAGATTATCGGTTCTAAAAGAACGGTCATAATGTTCCTGAACGTAAAAAGAATTTTTTTTGTAAATGCAACTTGTAATATCTATATGGAGAATTATGTACAGAAAATTAATTGCGGAGATATTTAATTACTTATGTCATATTTATATACAGTAGTTCCAGGAAGTTCATAAGAATGTTTCCTCAATTACTATGAAGTAAATGCAGTGTGGATAATATTTATATACAGTACTTCATTCAGTCTTGCAGCAAACTGATCCAGTCTGAACTGTCAAGTATGGTGGCCATATTGACCTCCATACACTTTATAATACAGCTTTTCAAGCATTGATGAGATCTTTGAAATTGGCTTGTTTGTACTTTGTGCTCAAAACAGGATGGATGACAATGTTCCAATTGCTTAATGTTAGATTTTTATGAGTTGTAGCAACTATTTTTTTCCATTATCTCGGCCTTGTTTCACTACTATAAAATATACAACCACTTCCTAGTTTTTGGTCTCGACTGCAAATGCACCTTTAGAATATTGTGACGCTGACAGTGCTACATAGTCTTCCCGGCTGGGCACCTTGTTTTCGTAATTATTTGATTGCAAATGGTTATTTTATTTCCTCACTGTCATCACCACCACCACCACCTCATGGTGCAAAATGTCAGCCTTGACTCTCAGTGCAAAGATATTCAGTGTGCCCAACTCTATGCCTTCAGTTCACGGAAAGAATTGTACAATCGAGTTGAGCTTACTATAGACCATTCAACAAGCAATTTCATCAGATATAATAAAAGAATTAATTTACAGTACTGTATTGTCATGCATCATAATACAGTCTGTCAGTACAGTACTGTATATTGAAGAGTAAATTTAATGCAAGTGTGGCCAAAGGGACTTAGTACATAAGCAGCACGAGTACATCTCGTGCCATAATCAAATGTGTACCTGTCACTCAACAAAATTATGAATTTTCATTTAATGCATTCCTTCATTAAGTTCAAATTTACTATAAATTAAACAAAGTTTTCTCTACAAACTATTTTTAAGGATGTTTGCAGTTCAATAATAAATTTTTCACATGTGACTTCGTGGAAAAAGTATTTTTTGTGAGTTTATTTTGTTTGAAAGTAGTGTACTGTATTCATATATTCTGAGGAACAAACCAATTAGATAAAACACTCAGCTTTAATGGCTTCTATGACTGATAATTTTGTTTAAATATACTGAACAGTACGAAATTTAATTAATGAGGCTATATGTGCCCTAATTTGGGCACTTAGATATAAATGTGTGTTACAACATATGTGCTGAAATTGGTTACAAATTTATTAATGAACATTTGCCAGTAAATGCACTGAAAGCACATCAAAATACTTGATATTTATTACATAAACAGTTTGCTAATACTTTACAGTAATACTCTAGTACCGATAAAAAGATAATAATATTTGTTAAGTGTCGGTCAGGATGCCAGTCAATAACATGGCAGCCAAAGCAGACATTAATGTGTATGTGTGTGCGTGTGTGTGTGCGTGTGTGTGATCTAAACACAAACATAACATTCCTATGTAACTAAGCTATTAATGGTTTTATTCAAGGTTGCTCGGAGGGAGGGGGGGAGACAATATTTTACACCAGTCCTCTTAATGGATGCATGTGACGACCTAAAATATCAAAACTGACACATTTTGTCGATGCAAATAAGCCGGTTCACATCGTAAGATTTGGCGGCTTTCAAATTGTATATTATTCGATAGCATTGTTCACATGCTTCAAGAGTTTTTGAAGGTTAATATATATATATATAAGGGAAATATCTAGCATTTTAACCTTGTACTGTGTACAAATGATGTGCTCTAGTTTACGCGAGAAGAAATTGTCATACTTCTCTCAATACAATACTTCTCTCAAGTAATACAATAATATAATACAATAGTTCAAGAGACAGTTGTGAGGAAATGCAGGAACTCTGGAAAATTTGTAAAGTTGTTATTTAAGACAAATACAGTAACTCCATTTGTTGGTGAATTATTCTAGGCTTTAATGGGAATGTTGTACAGTAATGTAATCCCCATTACTGAACTGTGCTAAGAGTTTATCAGTTAGATCACATAAGCAAGCCTCAGGTGATGTTAAGCTTCCTAGCAGTAATTCTGGCCACAAAGGTTATTAAAAGGACAACAATTTATGACTCGTCTGAACTACCTCATTAGGTTCACCATAACCAGACATTTGTATTTTTTGTATAGGTAGTTAATATGTAAAAAGTGTATAAATAGTGTATATATATCCATGTTATATGTTATTGTTGTATACTTGATTTGTATTTGTTCTAAAATACATTCAAGGGTTTCATTAACCATTTTCATTTTTCTCGGCAGTGCATTTATGAGAAGTTCAATGTTACAAATTTTTTTTTTCAATAAATGGTGCTTCATGTTACATTATCATAAAAACAATCATTCCAATTTTTGAGTTACAATAACACTCACTGAAAATAAAACATACCCATGTTTGAAATTTGTGTTTGAAAATTTTCAAACACAAATGTTTGAAAATTTAAAATGTTTGAAATTTTTGTAATTAAAAATAACCTTAAATGACACTATCAGTCAAAGCCGAGCTGAACTGTGCAGTCATATTTATTCAGAATGTGTTATACGTTTTGGTTCAATAACCAGCTATAAAAGGCACAAATAAATGTGTTTCACAGCTAAAGTTTTTAATTTGTATTCCTTGTCTGTATACCAGTAGTCTACTTGCACGACTAATATAAAAAGGTATTTTGATAAAAACAAATCAAAACCAATGCATTTTGCTCCTTTAACACACATTCTTCACTACTCGTTTTATGATTCCGAAGCAGCAATAACACGAACCACGGGGGCTCAGTAAATACTTCAACTCTTGTCCCTAGACTTCAATCTTCTCCGTGTTTCAATTCACTCTTACCCTAAAAATTTACTTTACCTACCTACCTTTCTTTGTACAACTTGATAATCATCCAGGACAAACCGAAACATCATTTCATTTTATTTTTCAGATCTGTGGGTTGCATATCATAGTAAACTTTTGAACCGTATGTTGAGACTAATCAGCATGCAGTATGTCAAACAACAGTCTGTTGGACAAGTAAATCCTGCCCAGGAAAAACACATGCAGGATTAGTTCAGGCTCCTGCACAAATGCTTGACCAACCGACAAGTTACCAGGGAAGCTAATCCAACACCTTACGGTGATGCTGTTGTAGGTGCAGCAGAGCTGCTGGAGGCAGGCACAAGATGGTGACCTAGAACCCCAAATGAGGCCGAACTTGGACAGAACCAACTGCGGCTTCTGCCAGCTCTTCAGAAACTCGAGCATGGCAAGCAGGGAAAGAACCAGATCCTTGGCTATCTGATACACATCTGGTACTGCATCTCTGCTTGCAGGGATTGGTTGAAGAGATGCTAGAGGTAGGATCTGCCCCTTACCCCTGGTACCCCAGCCTAGACACTGGTGTCCACCTGCACACAGCATCACAGACAACCCCTCCAGCGGGTAGTTGATAACCCAAGCACAAGTCCAACATGTTTGGTTGAATGTCATCTTAAGAGGGAAGAGAGGGGGACAAAAACCACATGCAAAACCCTCTCGCCTCATCAATGGAATGCCCATAAAGAGGCAGACAGCTACATGTGAAAAACTGAAAAGGAATAATATCAAAAGTGTGAATGATAAAATAAATATAGAATGTAATAAATCTCGATGATCACGACTCTCAAGTCGAGCCTGGCCTCGGGCCGGGCTTGGGGAGTAGAAGAACTCCCAGAACCCCATCAACCAGGTATCGAGCAGGTATCAGAAACCAGAAATAACTTTTCATACAATTAAACGTTTAGAAATTTGTCGTTGGGCTTTAGGCCTCAGTCAGTTAATGGAACGTGTTAGGTTATTCATCGTCATGTTTTCTTCCAAAACATGACCTACCAATCATTTTACATTTAACTTCCCAATTACTACTTGGCATCAAGAGGCAAATAGAGTGGGCCATAGCATCCAACTCATTCCACAACACCCAGGACTAACCCAGGTCTTCTCACTTGTGAGGTGCATGTTTGAGCATATGTGACACACCAACCACAAATTGAATGATATTTGGAATTAATAAGTACATTATTAAGAATAAAGACTTTAATCAGTAATTCAATAGCCACTGTGATATTTATAAATATTACAAAATGAAGTGTCCTTACAAAACTTTATTATAATTGGGTCAGAATATTTTTGTTCAGTAATTATATATCCCTCAATGTCTTCCTTACATGACAGAATTATAAATATCTCGGCAACAACAGCCCTTTTATCACATGAAACTACAGTAACAGAAAAAAGTACTGTAATGCTTATACAAAAGTAAAACACTACCCGCTTCATTGGGTCCCACAGAACGTTAAAAAAAAAATCTTAAAAGCAGTTTCAGTTACAACTGAAATTACATTACATTTAATTTTTTGCTTTCATAAAAACATGTTAACCACTTCTAATAGACAGTAACTAGGTATTTGAAACCAGTGACATATCACCCTCTACCCTGCAACAAGAGCACTATTTCTCCAACAATCATATTTTGATTAAGATCCAAAGTACCGTAGTTCGTGTTTTCACTGAAAGATGCACTCGGATGACATTAAGTTACACATCAGTTTCACAAATATCAAGGATGCTTGTAAGAAAACATCAAAATTCAGCCTGAAGACATTACAAATCAACATTGATGTACAAGCATGAATCACAGCTTCCTTACAAGTCACCCATTCAGATCAAAATGTAATGTGATATATACCATTCAAATATTGAGTACTATCAAGCACCTATATTAGAAAATAAATAAGCCACTGACTAGAGACTGCAAACATACCTATGCCAGTTACAAATTAAAACCATCTCGCATGTGTAATAAATACTCTATTCAAGCATTATTGTTCTTTTGTTTCCTACTTTCATGGGGTAAAAAGGCAGCAGCCTAAAGAAAATAAGAGCAGCAATATAGGAAATGGTTATACCAATCCATCCACCCAAAAAAAGTGCAGGATTCCTGAACAAATCCACAAGGGCCGTGACGAGGATTCGAACCTGCGTCCGGGTGCATCCCAGACAATAGTGTAGTGTAGGATTCCTGTTCTTGCCAATCTCTATATGAAATACTGTACTTTGAAACTGTTCTTCTTCCAACTATTGATACTTGTCCCTTTCTCTCTTTCTCTGGATTTGCTATGTTGTTGATATATTTGCTCTTAGGCCTTGTGACTAGGCTTCGAACCTCTTTTTTTTCTAAAAAAAAAAAAAAAAAAAAAAAAAAAACTTCCATTCAATGTTTCAAAGATGATTGGAAATCTAATGCTCTCCTTCCTTTCCTAGCAGTCGGTTAACTAACATGTCAACAGTTGTGGGTCTGGCTTCTCTTTCTACCATAAGCTTGTCCACAATGGAATGTGGTTACTTCTTTGTCTACTATCTGCCTTCTCGTAAGAAAAGTGTTCTCGTCTCCCTCTTTCTCCAGGCCGTACACATCAGTGACCCCCAGTTTCTTTATTCTCAAATTTCTCTTCTTTATGCAGACGATGAGTCACAATAATGAGGACCAAACCACACACCAGAAACTGAAACATCGGTCCAAGACGGAATGAAACACGGTTTCTTCAGTTTCTAATGAATAGTTTTGGCCATCACATCTTTTTTTCACAAATCTTTCTTTCTCTTGCCTTCATTATCTCTTAAATTTTATCAATTGTACCTATTCTCAAGCTATACTTCCAATACTGTACTAGAAACATTGTGCTGTGCCTTCCTATCATATCTGCACTCAAAATCTCACTAATATCCTTTGTCCTTCTCAGATAAAGCTCAGGTTTTAACAAACCAACACTTCATAGTAATCCAGTTCACACTACTCCTGCTGGAGTTTATTTTATTTCCTGTTCCTCTTGTCCTCCCCAATACTTTGGTGAAACTGGCTATTCACTGAATGACAAGACCAAAAGAGCACGAAAGAAGTGTAAAGTCTGCAGACACAAACAACAATTTCTTCTGTGATGTTAGGGACTCTTTCCCACTTCTATACACAAATGCTTGTTGAATTAGCTCTCATGAACATGCCCAATATGAACCATAGTCCTGGCCTTGTTGCTGTTGACTCTTGCTGGACTCTTATTTTATATGTTGCACTCAAAACACACTTAAATGCTCTAACCTTTTGTTACGGGGAGTCACAATAACGTGGCTGAAATATGTTGAACGAACCACACACTAAAAAGTGAAGGGACGACGACGTTTCGGTCCGTCCTGGACCATTCTCAAGTCGATTGTGATAAACAATCATTGTTTATTATTTTACTCGATATAAGAAAGTGGATTTGTAATTCAGTATCTCAATTAATTTTTGCTAGTACACTTAACGTGCGTAAATTAATAATAAAACCCTTGCAATTCTGAAACAGAGACTAGACACCATACAGGCAAAGCATCACATCTACGATGGGAAAAATAATTATTAACATTTCAATATAAAAATGTTACAATTTCATGTAATAACTCATGAAATACAAATTTTTAGTACAAAGTGCAAAGTATTATTTAGACTTTTTTAAAAGTACGATAATGAGTTTAAAATTTAAGTGCAATATACAACTAGGACTTGAAAATAATTTGAAAGCTACTGTACTTAGGCTGAAGGCCAACTACAAATGGGTTACAGGCAAGACTTTCTTTGTCCCAGAACAAAAATATTATATTATGGCAGTTTGCTTTAGCCACCAAGCAGGCTAAATTGCGAAGGCAGGATGTTATAAACCATGAACAACACGCGCTTAACAGTGTGTAACTTAACTCTTGACTCTGGGTAAAATAGTCCACGAGTGACACGAGCTTAACGTCCACTCCTGACTCTGGGTAAAATAATCCACATGTAACACGAGCTTAACGTCCACTCCTGACTCTGGGTAAAATAATCCATGAGTAACACGAGCTTAACGTTCACTCCTGACTCTGGGTAAAATAATCCACGAGTAACACGAGCTTAACGTCCACTCCTGACTCTGGGTAAAATGGCTGCTGTCTCACATCAGCAGTGCTATCATTTTCCAACTTTTATTATCTCTATCTACAATATATATAAAGTATTATCATTTAAATAAGAATAGACTCTGAGCTTGAGATTCTACTGTGACATGCTACACAGTAGTAGTCACACCAAAAGGCAAAGATCCGTGATCTTGTAATCACAAGTGAGTGAAACCCTGAAACTCTCGGTATTGACCTACGTGTGTTGACCTACGTGCATACATCTTCATTAACACAAGTGTTACTACACAGTACCGTTTCAATACTGTACTGCGAATACGGTACTTTCTACTTGTGAAAAAATCAATCAATAACTCATGAGTGTAATATTTTACCGTGATAATCAAAATAGAATTATATAGCTATACAAAATTACATGCTATTTGTATACAAAATATAGAACAGCCGACTTTTCGTCCTTAAAATATTTAATGTTTTGACGATAATTTTTGTTTTAATATTTAGTCAAACTCATTATTATTATTATTATTATTATTATAAGAAACAATATTATAAAAGTCTGCTAAATATTAAATCTACTACAGTACTTATATACAGAACAGTCTTTCCACTATTATTATTATGAGTTTACTAATGACCCACATGTTTTTATAACTGTGTACATATATATATATATATATAAACAAAGACTCAAAATATGCTGTATATACAAACAACTGTAACATTGTTATATACATATAAATTAGATTTTTTTAATAACACACAATTTTAATTATGCTGTAATTATACTGTGATGGGATTAGATCTTACCCAGTTAAATTTCCGTATAAAATGTAGGCCTCTCTATGCCAATGAGACGGAATGCCATTGGGCTCGTGTAGACAACTGTGAACCCAATCGCAATGTACGTAATGAACTTGTAGAACAGCTCGACAACGAGACGACGACGAACAGTGATGCCACCAGTCTTGTTCATGTAGTCTTCTGCTTTCACCTGAAAAAAAAAAAGTTTGCCACATATTGGTAAAGACATGTAACCATTATAATGTAATATAATTACAGCTCATAATAATTATTATTAAAATGCACACAATATATCAAATCCACTACATAGTTAGATAACATCTTGGGCTGGAACACATAGCTGGCCATTTCAAACCCATCACCATCCGCATCACAGTGTTGAATTGAATATACACAAACTCAGATTTTTTTTAATTACATTACAGTCACCGATCTATTATCCAGCACAAATGGGACAAGGGGCACTTAAAATTGAAATGGAATGAAATTTTTTTGGGTGCCGTCTGAAAAAACGAAATGGTTAACTGTTAATAGGACTGTACCATACTGAAGCTAATCATCTATCAGACATTTTAACAATAAATGGGGCTTGCAAAAATAGTTAGTCTACTTCTGCGAAGAAATGTATATCACTTAGAATGTTCGGTAATATGCTTATTGTTTGTGTTGTGTATTATTTTTATACTGTATATATACACACAGAAATCACAATTGCGTGATGCATCAAATGAACAAATCCACAAGGGCCGTGATGAGAATTCGAACCTGCGTCCGAGAGTTTCCCAGACGCTGCCTTAATCGACTGAGCTATGACATGGTCAAAAGGGTTGAAACCGAAGTTCTACTGAACTTACTGGATCCTGCAGCCTCTCCGAGGCACAAACCAGGGTTTTTACACAACACCCCCCATGCACTCGAGCTATGTCAATAGGCTGTTCTCCCTCTTCGCCCTTACTTCATTACACACAGAAATCACAATTGCGTGATGCATCAAATGAACAAATCCACAAGGCAGCGTCTGGGATACTCTCTGATGCAGGTTCGAATCCTCGTCACGGCCCTTTTGGATTTGTTCATTTATATATATATTTGTTCATATATATATATATATATATATATATATATATATATATATATATATATATATATATATATATATATATATATATATATATATATATATATATATATATATATTAGTATATTTTGGTAGCAGTCTTTCCTGTAGACATATATTATTAAATATGACCGAAAAAGTAAGATTAATAATTCTAACACGAATTTTCTCAATCTTTCGTACATTACGCTTCACTGTTGGAGGTAAATCAAAAATCACTTCTCCAAAATTCATTTTTATTTCTAGTCTGACGCGACACGGGCGCGTTTCGTAAAACTTATTACATTTTCAAAGACTTCACAAATACACAACTGATTAGAACTTACGTCTCTCTGATATTATATCTACATTTGAGTGAGGTGGGAAGGGTGATGTGGCATTAACACAAGACAGAACAGGAGGGGATATTAATAGGGTATTAAAAGTATCAACACAAGACAGAACAGAAACAATGGGTATTGAATAGAAGTGTTTGTAGAAAGCCTATTGGTCCGTATTTCTTGATGCTTCTATATTGGAGCGGAGTCTTGAGGTGGGTAGAATATAGTTGTGCAATAATTGGCTGTTGATTGCTGGTGTTGACTTCTTGATGTGTAGTGCCTCGCAAACGTCAAGCCGCCTGCTATCGCTGTATCTATCGATGATTTCTGTGTTGTTTACTAGGATTTCTCTGCCGATGGTTTGGTTATGGGAAGAGATTATATGTTCCTTAATGGAGCCCTGTCGCAACAGGGCTCCATTAAGGAACATATAATCTCTTCCCATAACCAAACCATCGCCAGAGAAATCCTAGTAAACAACACAGAAATCATCGATAGATACAGCGATAGCAGGCGGCTTGACGTTTGCGAGGCACTACACATCAAGAAGTCAACACCAGCAATCAACAGCCAATTATTGCACAACTATATTCTACCCACCTCAAGACTCCGCTCCAATATAGAAGCATCAAGAAATATGGACCAATAGGCTTTCTACAAACACTTCTATTCAATACCCATTGTTTCTGTTCTGTCTTGTGTTGATACTTTTAATACCCTATTAATATCCCCTCCTGTTCTGTCTTGTGTTAATGCCACATCACCCTTCCCACCTCACTCAAATGTAGATATAATATCAGAGAGACGTAAGTTCTAATCAGTTGTGTATTTGTGAAGTCTTTGAAAATGTAATAAGTTTTACGAAACGCGCCCGTGTCGCGTCAGACTAGAAATAAAAATGAATTTTGGAGAAGTGATTTTTGATTTACCTCCAACAGTGAAGCGTAATGTACGAAAGATTGAGAAAATTCGTGTTAGAATTATTAATCTTACATTTTCGGTCATATTTAATAATATATATATATATATATATATATATATATATATGTGAACATGTTGTACTGAACGGGGTGAGAATAGTTTGAGCTACTTCATTCCTTTGTGTGTATTTATACCTCAATAAACATATTTCAATTTCTAGTTCTGCTAAAGAGTAGCTTTGAGTCTTAGGCCAATAGCTGTATCTGGCAAACTTCCATCTTACTCATAAGCAAAAAGGATGTGAAATAACCTGTTTCAGTTTTTAACCTCATAGATGAACACAAAAAATTGCTACTTACTTGCAGCAATGCACAAATGGTGGCAAAAGAGAGGGACTTAAAAATTGCCTTCACAGCCAAAATGATGACGAGCCCAAGTATCGTGCGTAGAAGTGAAAGTCCGATCATGTTAAGCGTTGGCCAGATGACACTGTATGGTGGGGGTAACGATGGCTCTCTAATAATTCCCAGCTGGTAGTTAGCCCATGATCCTAGGAGCGAACCACACCCAACGCCAACAATAACAGTAGTGTCGCCCCTAAAATATAAATATAAATGTCAAACGAAGAATTTTTAGTAACCAGTTGTCTCAAAATATAAATATAAATGTTAAACGAAGAATTTTTAGTAACCAGTTGTCTCAAAATATAAATATAAATGTTAAACGAAGAATTTTTAGTAACCAGTTGTCTCAAAATTATGTCAATCACTCTAGCTTCATTCTTACAAAACAAAAGGAGTGTGTTCCAAGTTTACAGATCCCAGGCAGCTTTTATGTTGATGGCTCCTCTTAATATTGTGAAGTGAATTGGAAGTATCTTTTTTTTAATTCAAACTTATCACTGAGAACAATTTGAGATGTAATATTTTGAACAGGAACTTGGCACTAACAAATTTACATAAGGACTGCAGAAAGCCTAAGTACACCACTAGATAAACTCCCAGTCAGGAACAAAATTATTTTATGTACAAAATTGGAAAATGCATATGATTTTTTTTACAACATCAGTAAGTACTAGTTCAGTGACGTAGTACTAGTACTGAACACAAACTGTAATATTCAACTCCACAGTACAGATCTGTGGAAATGATGCATTCTTAACTTAATGAACAAATATTATATGTGTGTGTGTGTTCCCCTTTTATCCTGAGCTGATTCCTCCTTACCACAGTAAAGTGGAAAACAAAGTGCAGTGGAACTTCAATTCAACGAATTTCTGGTTGGAACGTATACTTTCCATGCCGGATTTACCCACTAGATTTGATGAACAAGAAGTGGGAGATGTGTAGATTTCCTAAGGATGTTGAGACCGAGTTTACAGATGGAGGAACCATTATAAGAAATAGTTGGGGGCCTTGGGAATATTTAGCATATTTAAAAACCAAGTATTTAACCATTTAACCACTTGAGTATATCTAAACCCAAATTCTATGGCTCTTTTTTCTATATTTCCAGTTGCAGAGGTTTTCATTCAGTAAAATAAGGGGCCTTTTCCTTTGAAAGAGAGATTTTGAGGCTTGGGTGTACGAAAGGTGCTAGATGTGGTCAAGTCTCTTTACAGACAGGTTGTTTTGGTGATTGTCCTTCATATGACGAGTGGAAATTACAATTTCATTCATTTGACTTTGGGAAATCAACCCAAAGAGGGTGGAATATATTTGATATAAATGATAACACTAATATGAATCCAATCATGTTTTAATGATTTTCGCTTGGCATTTTCGTTGGGCATTTTGGAATTGTTTCTGTTGGGTGAACGGTAATAAATATGACTCCAATTATGTTTTAAATTATTTTTGTAGATGGTTACAACTTTACAAGTTGGGCCTTGGGAATGTCATTGAGCATATTTAAAACCAAATTATATGTTTCATTTTAGTTTGAGATTCCCTGGTTTTCAGTTAGAAATATGGGTCCTCTTTTCTTCAAAAATGAGGTTTCAAGGTGAGGGCATGAGAAATATGCTAGATGTAGTTAAGTCTGTTTACGGGCAGGTTTCCTTTTGGTAGTTGTCCTTCACATGACATGTTGAAATTAAAATTTCGCTCGGTGAAATCAGTCCCCCATGACCGTGGACTGATCAGGTTATGAATGGCAATATTAATATGTCTCCTATCATGTTTTTTGATGATTTTTGTAGATATACTCAATACAGTATTGCAAGAAACAGTTGGAACCTTGGAAAACTTATTGATGATACAGTATTTAAAAGCAAATTCTATAGTCTGTTTTCATTTTGAGTTGGCAAGGTTTTCGTTCACTCAGATTCGTCCCCAGCTACCTATCAAAACGAGCTTTGAGATGGGGGGTATGAGAAATAAGTTAGATGTGGTTAAATTTTTGCAGACAAGTTCATTTAATAGTCTATTATAAGTTGAAATTAAAATTTCACTAAGTGAAATAAGCCCATACGGCATGGGGAAACGAATCTTGGAGGCATCTTCAGTTGTAACGAATCCCACACTGCAACAAATTGGGGTTGATCCCATAAAGTTCATTGAATAGAGGTTGTACTGTAATGATCATTTTGTTATTTTCATTTGTTTAGTATTATGATTAATATATTGGTTATTTATATACAGTAATGGTATAGTACTGGGATTTAACCGCATGATTTTTAATTATGAATAATTGAAATTTGATTGTTGACACCCATAAACAAAGTCTTCTAACAATTCTTTGTAAACTAAAAGCTCGAATCAAACAACTTGTAACAAACCAAACAACTCAAAGTCAAAATCTATTGTTTTCCCATTTTGAAAAATGACATTTCAGTTATGCAGTGTTCTCACAGTGTTCAAGAGAGAACTGGATAAGCACCTCCAAAGGATACCTGATCAACCAGGCTGTGACTCATACGTCAGGCTGCTCGCAGCCGCGTCCAACAGCCTGGTTGACCAGTCCAGCAACCAGGAAGCCTGGTCGACGACCGGGCCGCGGGGACACTAAGCCCCGGAAGTACCTCAAGGTAACCTCAAGGTAAGGTACGCATACATTACCTGGCAGGCGTCCAGCGATCAGTGGCAGGGTAGCAGACAACCATGGCGACGGTCAGTGTGAAGGAAATGAGGGGAGAGGCCGGGTGGGTGAGAGCCAGGTGGTCAAGGACATCCACCCAGGGCAAGATCATCACTAACAACACAGTCACCAGCATCAGACCACACAACACATCCTATGTCAAACACATTCAGAAAATGTCAACTGGCATATACATTAGTGCCTTTAAAAATGTTCAGGACTACAAACAAATGTATTATTATATTTCAAACATCTCACAGTTAACTGATAATACCGTTTACTGAACTATTATTCAAGAAAACGTCAGCAGAAATCAGATATGGCAAATTATCATCACTTTAAGAATGTACGTAAGAACTTAAATATACTGTAGTATAGCGCAGACAATGTGACTTACCAAAACGGAATGCATTCCCAGATAGAGTCTGGACAGACACACACACGTACACCAAGTAACTGCAATAGCCAATCCCCAACCCCAATCCAACTAGAAAATAAAAATTAAATAATTTAGCATATAATAACTATTAAAAATAAGTAAATAATGCATCAAATGGTGCAGCTCAGTGGAATAACACTACAATACAGCATTCTGAATTTCAGTGAACAAAACCATAAAATATTTCATCTATTACAAATGTACCAAGTTTCAGTATTTTATTTTTTTTTACTTTACCAACTTGCTACGTTACTTGCGTCGATATTATATACGGTTAGTGACAGACAAGTGCTTATGACTTCTCTTGATTTCAGTAAGGTTATGCCCAAAGTTTCAGCATAGATAAGTATGCAATATATCTTGACTATGGTATCTACTTCACTTAACAACCAACACTAACAGTCTGGCTTGACAAAGTCAGACATAAAACTATACGTGAGAGCTTCCAAAGTCATGACAAGTACTCTGACTTTGTCAGGTATCAGCGCTGTTGAAGGGGAGACCTGCGATACCCTGAGATTCCATGCTTGTGGGACCAATTAAGCTTTCCTCACATCACTTTCAATAAATGTAATGGTGAAACATGATAAAATTGCTTTCCCTACAAGTAATTATCAAAAAAGGCAGCACCAAGCCGGAACACTACTTAGTGCATTGTTCCCACAAACTATCGGCGAAAATAGGTGTGTCTTATCCACCAGCATACACTGTGTGTATTAAGAGCGAGATTAGAGGAAGAAGGTATACAACTATTTAAGATGTTTAAGTAAGAGCAGATAATGCCACATTAATTAGAAGAAATTGAAACAGACAGATCAAAATTATTTGCAATTCCGATATTTCACAAATACAGTACTGTACTGGTGTAAACTACAGGTCACTAACTGGCCCCCGTGGTGTAAATTACACATGTAAACTGCAGCAGGTCACTAAATGTAAATTACATGTAAATTAAATCAATAATTGGCTCTCCAGTGTAAATTATGTCAGTAATTGGCCCTCTCACGTCAATTAAACCTTGGAAAATAGCTATCACAAAAAAAACATATCTATTTAACTGCCACGCACTATTATTTTCTGCTCGGTGCAAAAATATACAAAAAAAAAAATAATTAAACAAATAAGAGTATCAGAACAAGTTGAGCAAATGTTATTTAACAAAACCAACAAGAAAATTAAGTATTATATAGGAAACACAAACAAATAACAGAAACCTTCTAATCAGAATCAGGCCTCCTCGGATAGGTGCCTTCTTTTGATAATTACCAACTTCGAATCAGAACGACACGGCAGTCAATACGTACTTGGTAACGGTTCAACGTGAGAATGAGAATGGAGAACGGCATGGCCGCGCCCACCATAGCATGCGTGGACGGTAGACCATACTCTAACTGCCACCTCGGGTCGAGACGAATTACCGGTGGAGAAGCTGGCCGAGGCACTTTCAAGATGTCTTTTAGCGCTTGTCCTGATGTAAGGAAATACGCAGCATCAAGAAGCTGGTCACTCTTGCTGTTTTAGCATCTTTACCTACACATATACATAATACTCATATACATATATATAAACTTAAATATTTTAGTAGTGTTCATATTTTGAATATTTTAATATTCAAAACATTTTAATTTAATACATTTAATACATTTTAATACACCCTCCAAGATAACGTGCACATTTTACACCCTCCAAGATAACGTGCACATTTTACACCCTCCAAGATAACGTGCACATTTTACACCCTCCAAGATAACGTGCACATTTTACACCCTCCAAGATAACGTGCACATTTTACACCCTCCAAGATAACGTGCACATTATACACCCTCCAAGATAACGTGCACATTATACACCCTCCAAGATAACGTGCACATTATACACCCTCCAAGATAACGTGCACATTATACACCCTCCAAGATAACGTGCACATTATACACCCTCCAAGATAACGTGCACATTATACACCCTCCAAGATAACGGGCACATTATACACCCTCCAAGATAACTTGCACATTTTACACCCTCCAAGATAACGTGCACATTATACACCCTCCAAGATAACGGGCACAATTTACACCTCCAAGATAGAGTACCAAAGATGACCCAGCTGACTAGCACTACCGATGGGAGGGTTCAGCACCCACTAATAAGCCATTAATGAGAAACAACACGCACAGACCTGACAGTGAATCACAAGAAACACCGAGGGAGGCCATTCCATATAAACACAAACCACTGTTAACAAAAAATAAAGCGCAGTATACAGTATATATATTTTTTTTGTATTAAATTCACACATTAATCTGTAAGGTTAAACATTTCAGAAAAATCAAAATGTCACTGCTCACCAATATACATGGTGATCATCCATATGACCATCACCCTCCGTAACACGGCCCCATCCACATTCCACGACCAGAAGCAGAAGAACACCGAGTAGAACAGTTCTCCACCCAAGCTCGTTGCAAAAAAGAAGAGATGGTAGAGGAGATGGCACCAAAACCTGAAAGAATGCACAGTAAATAACATTGCATATCTATAGCTTATTTGCTTAATACTGTAATAATAGAAGGGTACCTCGGTTTAAGAGTTTAATCCGTTCCTGAAGACGGCACGTATTCCGAAAACTCGTAATCCGAAGCTAATTTCCCCATAAGAAATAATGGGAAATGAATTAATCCGTTCCTGACTACCCAAAAACCTCACTTCAAACTAAATTTTATACCTAATTCATCTAAATAAACCTACAAAACAAAGTTATTACTTACCCTTGATGATGACTGCTGTTGGCGTATGAAAAAGGGTGAGGAGGCGGGAGGAGGAGAGGTGTTACTGTTTGGAAGGGGAGTCCCCTTCCATTATAACATCAGGCAGTGAGGACTTCACTGGTGTGCACTCTCTGGCAAGTTTTGCCTGCATACCACTAGGACCTGCTTGTGGCTCACTGCTTGCTTGTCTTACTAAGAATCTGTCTAAAGACACTTGTTTTTCCCTACATTTTAACACTTGTCTGTAGTAAGACATCACATTGTCATTTAAAAGGTCAATGCAATGGCCTGCTACACCTTTATCTGGGTGAGTTTTTTCAACAAAACTTTGCAGTTCTTCCCATACTTCACACATTTTCTTAATGAAGAAGGGACATCCTCTACTGCCTCTACTAACAACTATTTTCTTAGGTTGAACCTTACCACTGGCTTTCTTGGGACCCATGGAGAGATATATAATAACAACTTTTATACTCAAATGGCTAAAAATCTGACAAAAAACTGTAAATCCTTGTGAAGAATTCAGACGGGATAGTCACTGGGCGCGAGGCACTAGTAAACTGAGGCGCGATCGTCGTGCCACCACGCACTAGTCGCCCTGTACGCGTATCAACACTACACGCTTTCCGAGGCAAATTTTCTGAGCAACTCCTGCTCGTATTCCGAAAAACTCGTATACAGGAACACTCTTATTCCGAGGTACCACTGTACATGGCATTATCGGCAAGTGTAAGAATGCTCTCTAAAACCAACAATAATAAAACAATAATCGATAAACAGATAATATGCACGATAATGTGGCTGACAGACCAAAGCATCATCACTTTCATGTGTGAGAGATGGGTTATTAATAATCTATAAACTTGTGAGAATACACAGTACATAATAAAACCAATGGCTCACTGATACAACAACTCCGCAAGAATGGAAATAATAATGAAGCATTCAAGCAAAGTGAAGGTCTTGATATTGGCTTGGCAGAATTCGATCTGATTCAGCAAATAATAAATTTTCATTAGCCGATTAGATATTTATGCTTTTTCCATTTTATATACTGTAGTTATTAAGCCTGAAACTGACTCGGTTACATGTTAAAAAGTAACACCCTACACAATACAAGAGAACCATCAATTTGGAATAGTCAATATTAACAGCCAATTATATATAATAAATGTTTAAGTATAAAAATTCCACATAAATATTCAGTTAGGACTAACAAATCATGTGGACAGCTAGGAACTTTAAGAGTGCAAATGAAACACATTTTCCTACACTGTTAAGTACTTCAACACAGTATAGTTGAAGGTAAACTGAAGTTGCACATCATCATCAGTGTTTGCAATGTAGCAACAATTAGGTTGCACCGAGGAGGAGAGATTCTCGATGCAACACACTTAAATGAAGGAAGATGACTTTCTTAGTACTGAAAGACCCCAAACAGAAGACAATTCAAATGAGAATACACCCACACTTGGCTTTATTCTAAAACTTTGTTAATGGTTAACCATGTAAAATAAAAACTAGCCTTAATAATCTCGCAGCTGTTCAGAAAACATTTGAAAAAAAAGGACAAAACATTTACACCTTATTTATCTGATATATAAAGCGAACTAGACAAGTAGGATTAATAAATTTATGTAAACTGACAGAAGTGCAATGTAATAAAGTTTATAGCTCTTAAAAAGTGCCTAAACGGCATTTCCTGGCGTTTAGGTAATTCACTGCCAATCATATAATGTATCAGCATTGTTATCATAATATTCTATACTGTATATAGTTTTCAAACATTCTCCCACTTAGAACAATAAAGATTCTTTTAAATTGGACAGTTTTAAATACAGTATTGTACTGTATATTGTTTTAGTTTTTATTTTCAACGCTAGCATGCACACAAGCTCTTTTTGCTTCTGGATAGTTGCCTGCTATTATTCATCTTTAATTTGTAACGTTACACACACACAAAATAATAAGACCTGAACAAAAATAACATGAAAGTATATACTGTACTAACAAATATTCACCCCAGAAATAATAGTGGTGTTCGGCCAAATTCATTACTCTTGGGATGGAAGCTCAGCCCACAGCCGGTCGGCCGAGCGGAAAGCACGCTGGACTTGTGATCCTGAGGTCCCGGGTTCGATCCCGGGCGCCTGCGAGAAACAATGGGCAGAGTTTCTTTCACACTATGCCCCTGTTACCTAGCAGTAAATAGGTACCTGGGTGTTAGTCAGCTGTCACAGGCTGCTTCCTGGGGGTGGAGGTCTGGTCAAAGACCGGGCCGTGGGGACACTAAAACATCGAAATCATCTCAAGATAACCTCAAGATAACCCTAACCACAGCTCGGGTCACTGGCTGTCTGGCAAACACCCGACACACATACACACAACTTCTCATCTAAACTCAAACTTCTACTCTAGACACACACACTATCTTCTATAAAGGGCTGCATTAAAGTTAATTTTGTCATGCAACTTATGCCACAATATAAAATATTGACTTATGAGCATTGAGTAATATAAATTTCACCCAGAAAGCCTCACCTGTCCTTAATCCTATAGGCGTTTTCCTCCGGTTCTGCCTCGGAGGCAGTATTGTCTTCCTCCATACTTCCTTCAGTTCCTCCCGTGTTCTCCCCAAGCAGCATGCTCATCCACGACCTGCCTGTTCAATACACTTATTAAATCTCCTTTTAAAACATGGTGTAAACTAAAGTGTCTTTTTCAAGGCCTGTGTACAAATCAGTCAAACAAATGTGAATTTAGCTGTACAATACTGTATAGGTAATATTCACATGATTTAAAACTGGACCAGCTAACAACCAACCCTACTTTAGGGTTGGTTGTTAGCTGGTCTGACAACCAACTAGATCAGACCAGTTAGCTGGTCTAACTGGTTGGTGGTTAGCTGGTTAGCTTTAGGGCCATGCAGCTACTTTTATTTTTGGCCTAAAACATTAAAAAATATATAGTAAAACAAAGAGAAGCAAAGCAGATTTCTTTAGGCACTGCTCCTTGGTATGAATGCAGCTGTGTCTATGTTTGATGCACTGAAGCAGTGACCCAAAAAGTTTATATTACATATTTATAATCACTGTACCTTTCAATCTCTCACTCTAAATTTGCCCGAAACACTATGCGTGCTAGTGGCTTTACAAGAATGTTAATTCAACTTATTTTCTATATTCTCTGTTAACCCCCAATGTAACTTCTTGTAAATAAATAAATAAATAAATAAAATAAATATAAATAAATAGGGTTGTACAGTATAATACTGAAAATCCAATCTCCACAATATACCCATAATATGGGTAAAGTATATGTAAACCAAGCTTGACCAAACCACACACTAGAAGGTGAAGGGACGACGACGTTTCGGTCCGTCCTGGACCATTCTCAAGTCGATTGTGACAATCGGTCTGGTCAACTTACTTTAGCCACGTTATTGTGACTCATCGCCTAATCCAAGCTTCACTTAATATTGGGAAGCACATGTAAACCAAGGCTTAACATGTCATAATTTGCAGAATTAGATAATACAGGACATGGAAGCAAAGCGTAACAAAACACTGTTAACATATTAAAATACTCTTAATTCTAGTTGTTGTAACTACTGTATTGATTTATTATCTTTATACAATAACAAATGGCATGACAAGTGTTTTACGTGATCCTTAGCAATCACGCCTCGGGCTTTAATACTGAGAAACACTTACCACTGCCATTGCTCCCGTCACTAGCTGCACTTGCAGCAGAGTCCTGACGAGTGTGAGTCTTGCGAGTTTTTGTCTCGGTTAGCCGGTCACATTTTCTACAAAGTTGTAACCCCTGTATACGTGATTGGTCATTTAAGTAATGCTTCGTAAGGCTGGGTGTCGGTTCTTTGGTGTGCGAGTAAGATGCCGAAGCACCACCAAACTGGTCCCCATTAATATACTTCTTGTTGCTTCCTGGCGTGCCCACACGACGTATTCCAAAGAAATGCTGGAAACTTGCCACAAGATGTGGATCTTGAAGAGTCTTTATTAAGTCCATTTCTTACTTTTCTTTGATGTTCTAGTGATCTAGAGGGGCCTAATGCATATCTTTGTCTGAAGAAAAATATATACAAAATTAATTTACTAGTTAACAAAGTAAAGCCTTTGCAAAATTATGCATGTAAAGTTCAGTATAATATAGAACAACAACAATTTCATTCTTGTACATAACCTGCTTCGATATATTAATCAGGTCAAGGATTTAGATAATGTAAGATTTTAAACAAAGCAATAATGTACAGTATTTGCATTTTACCCAAAAGTAGCACAAATATGTTTGTGAGCAATATGGTTTTATCTGCAATACTACCACACACTGTGCACTAATGAAAATAGAAATGCCTAGCCTGGCCTAACTCAACTTTGTAATTGTACAGGCTGCCAAATTTTAAATGAAAATTGTTGGCAACTAACAACTTAAATACACTGCTTAAAATGCCATTTTGCACATTAGTATTTCGTCCAGAAATTCTCACTTTGTAGCCAATTTATTACCTATTTGCAAACCATTTTCTACACACTAATAATAGGCTATACACATCCCTCACATATATTACAGGTAATACTGGCAATATAAATATTTGCATGCAAACTGTCCACTGTACGAATTGACCCATACTGAAAATTATGACATTACCAAATAAGTCAAAATTGACTGTTCTGAAAAATATCCAACAAGAGCCCAACCACTTGGACTGGACGGTAGAGCGACGGTCTCGCTTCATGCAGGTCGGTGTTCAATCCCCGACCGTCCACAAGTGGTTGGGACACCATTCCTTTTCCCCCGTCCCATCCCAAATCCTTATCCTGACCCCTTCCAAGTGCTATATAGTCGTAATGGTTTTGGCACTTTCCCCCCTGATAATTCCCTCCCTTGCTCCTCCAACAAGACCGTATACAGTACCAATACAAGAGATACGCAGTACTATCCGCAGTCAGCCGGCACGATACACACAGCGGGGCTCTCGTATGGCTGGCGACGAACGTAAACATGTCCACCCCGTTGACAAGTCTCCAGCGAACACACCGCGTGCCCTCTACACAGCGAGCCTCTCCAACCCCCCTTTCACAAGTCATGGCACCAGTCACCCCATACGCTGATAAGCCTCTGGGCCCCAGGGACACCACTCCACCTTATCAGTAACCGCGTCACGTGATAACCAGTACACCAGCCACCTCCCTAAGTCACGTGTGGTGCAGGTGTGGCAACATGACCCCGCCTACGGGTCATGTTGGGGTCCATACCTGGGGTCCATACCTGGACCCCAGGTATGGGGGGTCAGGCAGTCACGTGAAAGTTTCATACAACGAGGCTCCACTCCCCCTTCCTTATCACACACCACGCGATAAAAGATATACATATATACATAACACTTGGCTACACACGGTGAGAGTGCGGTACAGCAGCCGGGCAGACAGCAGAGGCCAGAGCAGACAGGGAGGAGAGAGAGAGAGTAAACAATCTCTCACCAGATCAACGCCCATCAGCTGGCTCCACTCCGCCGCATCTACTCAATACACACAACCCTAATAATTCCACTATTCCAACCAAACAGCTCTATAACAACATATCCCAACATAAAAAAACATCAGAAGAATATGTAATACACCAAAACCCATATGTATTCATTTAATTGATACCCACAAAGAGCCCGAAATAAAGAGATGTTTGTTTTTCTATCAGATGTACTATAGGATAAGTGATTCTGGGGAGGGTTGGTGAATAATGTATATAACATTCTTCAATGGCCGGGGAGACTAACCATGACACGCCATAATGCTCTTATATACCACACTGGCGTCAACCACCGTCTCGCCGCCCTCACGACCACTCACCATTACTGTTAAACTGTTGTATTGACTGTTACCCCCCTGGCCCGGTGACAGCGGTGACGTCATCAAGCTAGGAAATCATATAATGACGTCATGAAGTTAGGGTTGTCCGTGAGTCATGTGATGACGTCATGTAGTTAGGGTAGTCGTTGAATCATGTGATGACGTCATGTAGTTAGGGTAGTTGTTGAATCATGTGATGACGTCATGTAGTTAGGGTAGTTGTTGAATCATGTGGTGACGTCATGAAGTTAGGGGTAGTCCGTGAATCATGTGATGACGTCATAAAGTTAGGGCAGTCCGTGAATCAATTCAAAACTTGTCATAAAACATGGTTATGTATATATGGCAAGTTGGCGGGGAATTGAGAGCTAGAGCTGACTTCCTTGTTGTAAAAGTTACGTCTATAAGCTCTTGAATGGTAGTTAGTGAGAGGTAGTTAGGTAAAGTAGTTAATAACAGGTAGTTAGGTAAGTAGTTAGTGATAGGAAAGCCCTGTAAGGTAAGTTATACCCGATTATCGACCATATCACAGAAAGTGCAGCGCTTTGTCAATTAATTGTAAATTAATTTACAAAGCGCAAATTTACAAATTGTAAATTACAATTACAAAGTAATTGTAAATTAACAATTATAGGAACAATGAACCCTTAATATAACATTTAAGCAATATAGTGTGATTTGTTCATTGTTCAGATACAATCCCCAGGCTGCTTCATTGTTCAGGTACAATCCCCAGGCTGCTTCATTGTTCAGGTACAATCCCCAGGCTGCTTCATTGTTCAGATACAATCCCAAGGCTGCTTCATTGTTCCGGTACAATCCCCCAGGCTGCTTCATTGTTCAGGTACAATCCCCAGGCTGCTTCATTGTTCAGGTACAATCCTTCAGGCTGCTTCATTGTTCAGGTACAATCCCCAGGCTGCTTCATTGTTCAGGTACAATCCCCAGGCAGCTTCATTGTTCAGGTACAATCCCCAGGCTGCTTCATTGTTCAGGTACAATCCCCAGGCGGCTTCATTGTTCAGATACAATCCTCAGGCTGCTTCATTGCTCAGATACAATCCTCAGGCTGCGTCATTGTTCAGATACAATCCCCAGGCTGCTTCATTGTTCAGGTACAATCCCCCAGGCTGCTTCATTGTTCAGATACAATCCCCAGGCTGCTGCATTGTTCAGGTACAATCCCCCAAGCTGCTTCATTGTTCAGGTACAATCCCCAGGCTGCTTCATTGTTCAGGTACAATCCCCAGGCGGCTTCATTGTTCAGATACAATCCCCAGGCTGCTTCATTGTTCAGGTACAATCCCCAGGCTGCTTCATTGTTCAGATACAATCCCCAGGCTGCCTCATTGTTCAGGTACAATCCTCACGCTGCTTCATTGTTCAGGTACAATCCCCAGGCTGCTTCATTGTTAAGATACAATCCCCCAGGCAGCTTCATTGTTCAGGTACAATCCCCCAGGCAGCTTCATTGTTCAGATACAATCCTCCAGGCAGCTTCATTGTTCAGGTACAATCCCCTTAACCAGCTTACCACCCGTCATACTAGTTAGACCATCCATCATATTAGTTAGACCATCCATCATATTAGTTAGACCATCCATCATACTAGTTAGACCATCCATCATACTAGTTAGACCATCCATCATACTAGTTAGACCATCCATCATACTAGACCATCCATCATACTAGTTAGACCATCCATCATACTAGTTAGACCATCCGTCAGACCTGGGTGGCCAGTATAGGCCTAGGTCAACCACCCTCAGGCATCATTAGGCCTATAGCCTCTACAAGTAGTCTTAACATTCACTGAAAGATTTCTTAATTTAAAACTTTTCAAAACTTTAAATCCTCATTTGATATATCAATAGTAACAACATTTAACTGAACAATAACTGATAAGAAATATAGTTTAATGATAGTGACAAGAATCACTAAAATATAGCAATAATTAAAATAATAATTTCAATATATTCATTAAATAAATATATTTGTATAATTTTTGGCCATTTTTTTACACAGTTTCTCCCTGAAAAATGTTTATCAAATTATTTATATTTTTATCTATGATTATTGAGGACTTTTCAGACTATAGGGTAATAAGAGCGCAGTGAGGAATGTTTTATCATTTAATAAAGTATTATTAATTAAAGTCTACATATATATATATATATATATATATATATATATATATATATATATATATATATATATATATATATATATTTGTTTATACAACCACATCAATATTTACCTTAACTATTTTTCCAACACCTGAGTGTATGTAACACCCTCAATGTGTGTATATATATATATATATATATATATATATATATATATATATATATATATATATATATATATATATATATATATATATATATGTATATATATATATATGTGTGTATATCACGAAAATAAACACGTGATTAAAAATGTGACAATGTCAGACCACGGAGGAAAAATGAAACAAGAATTTCCTTAAGTACTTTCGTATAATATACGAAAGTACTTAAGGAAATTCCTGTTTCATTTTTCCTCCGTGGTCTGACATTGTCATATAAATATATATATATATATATATATATATATATATATATATATATATATATATATATATATATATATATATATATATATATATGTTTAAGATCTAGAGGACTAATATTCAGTCTGCATATGTATATATACAATAATAGTAAATGAAAATAAGGACACACATACATAATTCAACATTTTATATATATATAATTCACACATTCACACGATAGAACAAAAGCGGAAATGTCAGCAGTGTGGAGAAATGCCTGACAGACCACTGGAACATTATCTAACACAGTGCACAGTTACAAACCCATTAAGATTTCAAACTAGATTCAACAGAGCAGAAGTTGTTGTTAAACACGTGGGACAAAATCTTACTGAAGCGACCATACGAGTCATAAATACTCATACTCCGCCCAAGTAAAACAGAAACAAGCAACACTTAGTGGGCCAGCCAGAGGCTTAGGGCCCGCGCAGGAATATCCCTGCAAAAAAAAAAAAAGCCTATCAATTCGGAACTCTACTGAATTCACTGGAAGGTTCTGGAGGATTGAACCGGTGCCCAATCAGGTCTTTACGATAGGGAGCCGGTCGGCCGAGCGGACAGCACGCTGGACTTGTGAACCCGGGACCTGTGGTCCCGGGTTCGGGTTACTGACTCCCAGGTCCCGGGTTCGGCTTACTGCCCATTGTTTCTCGCGCCGGCGAGAAACAATGGGCAGAGTTTCTTTCACTCTATGCCCCTGTTACCTAGCAGTAAAATAGGTACCTGGGAGTTAGACAGCTGCTACGGGCTGCTTCCTGGGGGTGTGTGTAACAAAAATGGAGGCCTGGTCGAGGACCGGGCCGCGTTGACGCTTAGCCCCGAAATCACCTCAAGATAATCATCTAGTGCATATATAAAGTGAGATTTCACTTCAGTGAAGTGAGATATATTTTAGATAATGCATATATGAAGTGAGGCTAGTGATTCTGGTGAGTGTGCATCCTCCCTGTTTAACCACCTGGATACTTATGTACGCTCATCTAGGCTTATTAACGTTCCATTGATGATATTTTGGTCAATTGACAAGTGAACCTTTATCCTAAAAAGATATTGTTTTAAGTTATTACTGGACATTGTTTTATACTCCAGGTTTTAACATAGTTGCCTACCCTCGGGTTTGTTAGTACACTAAACAGTGAGTACATTCGGTACTATTAACCTAACTCAGCATAAGTTAACCTAATCTAAACTATTCTAACCTAAACTAATCACACCAAACTCTAGCCTAACTAAGCACCCCAAACCTAGCCTATCTAAGCACACCAAATCTAGCCTAACCAAACAAACCTAACCTAGCCTAACCTAACAAACCTAACCTAACCTAAGCTGAGTTAGTTGACCAGGGGTCCATAAGTACAATGAGGCACTAATTAAACATAATGCTTTTTGGAACTATTTAGAAAGTACAGTACTAAAATAGGCACTTGAATGGGGATGATTACCACGAGAGTACATACCCACTGAGGAGGACGCGTTCAGTACTAAAGATGTTTACATGGTAAAAGAACAGAGTTGTCCTCTGTCCTCTGAGGATAGAGTTGCATTTGGGGGGGGGGGGCGGTGCCCAGCACTGAAATGGCACAACCGTTTAAGGTCAACCTGGGCACTGCTGGGTATATACCCCATCCCCCCCCCCTTCCCCACACACATAATATATGAGTGAATTATTCTTCAATGAAAATATGTAAGTAGTTCTCAGAATTGTCACCAGGGGCCCTAAAAGTGTTGGATGACTCGTTGTGGGTGCTGGATGACTTGTTGTGGGTGCTGGATGACTTGTTGTGGGTGCTGGATGACTTGTAGTGGGTGCTGGATGACTTGTTGTGGGTGTTGGATGACTTGTTGTGGGTGCTGGATGACTTGTTGTGGGTGTTGGATGACATGTTGTGGGTGCTGGATGACTTGTTGTGGGTGCTGGATGACTTGTTGTGGGTGCTGGATGACTTGTTGTGGGTGTTGGATGACTTGTGGGTACTGGATGACTTGTGGGTGCTGGATGACTTGTGGGTGCTGGATGACTTGCTGTGGGTGCTGGATGACTTGTTGTGGGTGTTGGATGACTTGTGGGTACTGGATGACTTGTGGGTGCTGGATGACTTGTGGGTGCTGGATGACTTGCTGTGGGTGCTGGATGACTTGTTGTGGGTGTTGGATGACTTGTGGGTACTGGATGACTTGTGGGTGTTGGATGACTTGTGGGTACTGGATGACTTGTGGGTGCTGGATGACTTGTTGTGGGTGCTGGATGACTTGCTGTGGGTGCTGGATGACTTGTTGTGGGTGCTGGATGACTTGTTGTGGGTGTTGGATGACTTGTGGGTACTGGATGACTTGTGGGTGTTGGATGACTTGTGGGTACTGGATGACTTGTGGGTGTTGGATGACTTGTGGGTGTTGGATGACTTGTGGGTACTGGATGACTTGTGGGTGCTGGATGACTTGTGGGTACTGGATGACTTGTTGTGGGTGCTGGATGACTTGTTGTGGGTGCTGGATGACTTGTTGTGGGTGCTGGATGACTTGCTGTGGGTGCTGGATGACTTGTAGTGGATGCTGGATGAATTATGAGTGGGAATACTGGAAAAGTTTCTGTCGAGGCTCCTGTCAGTTCTAAAAGATTGTCAGCTTAGGGTTCTGTGAGATCCTGGCGACTAGGACCTTGTCTCCGACGGCGACTGTGCCCGTGACGTCGATGCCTGTACTGATGCCCATGAGGGGGCTGGTGGACCACACCTTGGCCAGCTTGGCCGGCTCCTTCAGCGCCCGGAACCTGTAAACACAAAGATATATGAGTGTAAGTCTATAGATTGGTTGTGAACGTGAGTTGTTTTGGTGTTATTCATTCTCTCTCTATTCTCTTTCTTCTTTCTTTATTCTCTCTCTTCTTTCTTTATTCTCTCTCTATTCTCTCTTTCTATTCTCTCTCTATTCTCTCTTTCTATTCTCTCTCTCTATTCTCTCTCTTCTTTCTTTATTCTCTCTCTATTTTCTCTCTCTATTCTCTCTCTCTCTCTCTCTCTCTCTCTCTCTCTCTCTCTCTCTCTCTCTCTCTCTCTCTGTAGTTCTCTCTCTCTCTCTCTCTCTCTCTCTCTCTCTCTCTCTCTCTCTCTCTCTCTCTCTCTCTCTCTCTCTCTCTCTCTCTCTATCTCTCTCTTCTTTCTTTATTCTCTCTCTTTTCTCTCTCTCTATTCTCTCTATCTCTCTCTCTCTCTCTCTCTATTCTCTCTCTTCTTTCTTTATTCTCTCTCTATTCTCTCTCTCTATTCTCTCTCTCTCTCTCTCTCTCTCTCTCTCTCTCTCTCTCTCTCTCTCTCTATCTCTCTCTCTATCTCTCTCTCTCTCTCTCTCTCTCTCTCTCTCTCTCTCTCTCTCTCTCTCTCTCTCTCTCTCTCTCTCTCTCTCTCTCTCTCTCTCTCTCTCTCTCTCTCTCTCTCTCTCTCTCTCTCTCTAACCAATTTATTTTTCTTCTGTTATGTCTACTACATATATTTCTCTCTAACACACACACATATCCCCAGGAAGCAGCCCGTAGCAGCTGTCTAACTCCCAGGTACCTATTTACTGCTAGGTAACAGGGGGCATCAGGGTGAAAGAAACTCTGCCTATTTGTGTTGGTTCTGTGGAAAATTCCACACATGTTAATATTATTATTATTATCTGACGAATGTATTATTCCATATCATATCTATATATCAGAATCATATCAGAATTATTATCTATTGATCATATCTACTGTATCTACATCAGCTTCCTGTATGACCTTTGGTCAAGTAGATTATTGGGCTTAATGCCTGTATAATATTGTAGATGTATTCTCTAGCATCTACAAGCTTCTCCAGAATCTACAAGCTTCTCTAGCATCTACAAGCTTCTCCAGAATCTACAAGCTTCTCCAGAATCTACAAGCTTCTCTAGCATCTACAAGCTTCTCCAGAATCTACAAGCTTCTCCAGAATCTACAAGCTTCTCTAGCATCTACAAGCTTCTCCAGAATCTACAAGCTTCTCCAGAATCTACAAGCTTCTCCAGAATCTACAAGCTTCTCTAGCATCTACAAGCTTCTCCAGAATCTACAAGCTTCTCCAGAATCTACAAGTTTCTCCAGAATCTACAAGCTTCTCTAGCATCTACAAGCTTCTCCAGAATCTACAAGCTTCTCCAGAATCTACAAGCTTCTCCAGAATCTACAAGCTTCTCCAGAATCTACAAGCTTCTCCAGAATCTACAAGCTTCTCCAGAATCTACAAGCTTCTCCAGAATCTACAAGCTTCTCCAGAATCTACAAGCTTCTCCAGAATCTACAAGCTTCTCCAGAATCTACAAGCTTCTCTAGCATCTACAAACTTCTCCAGAATCTACAAGCTTCTCCAGAATCTACAAGCTTCTCCAGAATCTACAAGCTTCTCCAGAATCTACAAGCTTCTCCAGAATCTACAAGCTTCCAGGTAATCAAAAATATTGCTGGAACCAAAGTTATAGCTTCCAGTGATGTCATTTCAAAATCCTTACTAAAGAACAAAAGGTCCTATCAAGAACTGCCAATAATTTTTAAAGCCATTAAGCAATTACCTTGTGATATACCTTTATCACAACAATCAGTCTAAATACAGAAAATAATCATTCTCAATTCAGGATAAGGGAAGGGAACTATCAGGGGAAGCACCAAGCCATTTCGACTATATAGCCCTTGGAAGGGGTCAGGATAAGGATTTGGGATGGGACGGAGGGAAAGGAATGGTGCCCCAACCACTTATGGACGGTCGGGGATTGAACGCCGACCTGCATGAAGGGAGACCGTCGCTCTACTGTCCAGCCCAAGTGGTTGGACAATTTCAGTATAAGTTGTTAATTATTTTAGAGCGTAGATTGGCTAATTAACATGCTTTATAACATTAATACTTCCATATATATAAATTGAGAGTCGTTAGGCAGCTAGGCTACGCCTCATTATTAGTAAGTTCTGACCTACTCATGCAGTATCTGAGTTTCTTACCAGTGCTCAGCTGTTTTATCTATTCCATGTAAACTTATATGCTAAATGTGTGGGTGTACCCGCAGGTATATTGTGTTCTGCAGTTTATGAGCCAGATCAGCCCTCAGGAGCAGCCTTACCTGCTACAACCCATTTCCACTATCAGCCAGATTCACGAAGCAGTTATGCAAGAACTTACGAACGTGTACATCTTTTCTCAATCTTTGGCGGCTTTGTTTACATTTATTAAACAGTTTGCAAGCATGAAAACTTCCCAATCAACTGTTGTTATTGTTATAAACAGCCTCCTGGTGATTTAGAGCTCATTAACTGTGTAATAATTGTAAACAAAGCCGCCAAAGATTGAGAAAAGATATACACGTTCGTAAGTACTTGCGTAACTGCTTAGTGAATCTGGCCCTTGGGGATCGAACTGGTCACAGTTCAACTGGACAAGGACACAGAACTAGACAAGATCACAGAAAAGCGGACTTACAAATCCAGCATAGGAACCTTGCATGCAGCTAAGAGAGCTTAATTATCTTGTACTTATTATCAATTTTAGAATATTATTTGATTTTAAATTCATGGTTCTTGTACCAAATGTACGGTCCTATGTAATTCTCCTCTTGTATTTAATCTCGGTATATTCCCCCACAGTTTCCGCCAGCGCCGGGAATCGAACCCCGGCGCTGAAATCGAAGCACAAGGACCCTCCCGACCCCTCCACTGACGGGGACATCCCCTTGCAGGGTACTTACGTGCGAAGGGTCCTCAGTGGCTCCTGTTTGGGGTGTCTTGTCCCTGTTTTCGGGTCAACGGTCGTCAGGATACACCTGTGGGTGTAGATGAGAATTCAAATTCAAATTCAAATTCAGGTAAAAGTACATATATAGGTGATGAGTTACAAACATAATGTTGGATTTATAGAGTTAGTACATACAATACCTAAAGCCACTAATACGCATAGCGTTTCGGGCAAATAATCATGATACTAAGGCTTTCAAATAATTCATCATAACTAGGCTTCCCTCATTAGTATCAAACGGCTTTGAACTACACATATATACATTATCCAAGACTCTGACGTTGTTCAAGATTGTTACACAATAGACCATAAATGTAAATATTAAAGGTAAGAGTTATATATATATTCCCCCCCAAGCCTCACCTCTGGCAAGGTTTGACAGTCCTGAAGACGGCTTTCCCGATCTTGACGTAGGCCCAATCGTCCTCGTCGGAGGGTTTCGAGCCCTTAACGATGATGTTGGCGCGAAAGTTGCCCATAGTCACCGGCACCTCCAGACGGGAGTTGAGATCTTGTAGCGACGACTCACAGCCAATGAGATAGGCGCATGTCTCAGCGTAAAATACCTGTGGTGTACGACCAATTATCAGATGGGAACAAACTTAAAGGCATTTCACACAAATTTTTTTTAACCACTGACTCATGTACTCACCCTGTCAGTGTCGAGGATCTTGGGGAAGTTGTAGTACTCAAGCCTACGGGCGACTCTGTTGTTCATGACATCTCCTCGGTAGAGCAGTCGTAATTTAGTTTTGCCTTCTGTGACGACTTCGGTCAAGAGGCGAGCCGCGTCTTCCCCGCAATCGATACCCTTCACTTGCTGGTCCCACACCCTGTATCAAGTTCATGTTCAAGTATGTTTATTGAGATAAGCAATAAATACATCTCAAAGGGATAGAGTAGCTTAGGCTATTTCTACCCCCCCTCACCCTGTATCATACCACACACACTATAAACACTCTCTCTTGATAACTATACATTCTTAATATAAGAACGTAACACATATAAAAGTATAGAAAGCCTATATTGGCCTATGAGAGACAGCTTCTGTTTATACCCAGACTTATTCATATACGTCAAATTTACGATTGAAAAATCCAGCGATCCTATTTCTATTTGTAACCTTACCTAACTGTACCTATAATCTAACCTAACTAAAACTAACCTAACAGAATTATACCTAACCAAGCCTAAATGAACCTAGCCTAAGCTAAGCAAACCTAAATGAACCTAGCCTAACCTAACCAAACCTAAATGAACCTAGCCTAAGCTAAGCAAACCTAAATGAACCTAGCCTAACCTAACCAAACCTAAATGAACCTAGCCTAACCTAACCAAACCTAAATGAACCTAGCCTAACCTAACCAAACCTAAATGAACCTAGCCTAACCTAACCAAACCTAAATGCACCTAGCCTAACCTAACCAAACCTAAATGAACCTAACCTAAATGAATTGAACCTAAACAAACTGAACCTAACGTAACCTAACGGAAATTAGATATATATATAATTCTGCCTGTAATATACATTTTAATTATGGCGTCAGTGGCTTAAGAAGAATCTAAAAAGTGTTGTATAAGAGAGAATAACCACTCACTTGGTCTCAGCCACCTTATGGTTCTTGCGGACGTCGGAGAGGTCGAAGGTCACGCTAGAGTAGCCGTCGGCGCCCATGGAGACCACATCCCCGTCCATCTTCAGCCATACCATAGTCATACGAGGCAGCTGGCGCCCCGATACCGACCGATTGTCATCGGCCGTCATCGCTATGAACGCCCTGCGGAGTAGTGGACACATGGGGGTACTTTAGTGATCGTGGGGCATACTGGGGGACACATAGGGGGATACTGGGGACACATGAGGATACTGGAGGCACATGAGGGACACTGGAGGCACATGGGGACACATTGATACCTCATGTACCTACACTTTTAGTCCCTGAGCATCCTGTGAGCCCCTGATTGTTGTGAATGAGGCGGCAGTGGTGATTAGGCTGTTATTAGGCAGAGGGATTAGGCTGTTATTAGGCAGAGGGATTAGGCTGTTATTAGGCAGAGGGATTAGGCTGTTATTAGGCAGTTATTAGGCAGAGGGATTAGGCTGTTACTAGTGGAGTGCTTTATATACTTTATTTATGTACTCGCTTATGTGATAATTTAAAGATAATTATTCCCCCCAACCGTGTGTATATAATTTCTGTGTTTTCTTTGGTGAATAAATTAGTTATTGTAAGTTAGACTTGGTGTGGCAGTGAAGCTTTATCTCTCTCTCATATATACATGCGGTGGTCCACCATGAATGGCACCCATATTATACCCCATGAACGGCACCTATATTAATTGAAGAAAGATGTACAGGTTTCGTTAGTGAACCAAGAGGAGTGGGACTTAAGAGCTGACCTGTCTTCAAGAGTGCCGCGAGCCAGGCCGTATTCGGTAGCTTCAGCCTGGTTGACGCTGACCCCAAGACCTGACTTGATCGGGTAGATGGTCAATTCGCCCACCTCCCCTACCTCCTCCCACCTGCCAATGGTAATTGTAATCAATTACAACAAGAGTTAAGAAATATATGTAACAAAAACAATAATAATACCTACAGTACTTGGCGGGAAATTGGAGGTTCTTACTTGGCGGGAAATTTAAATGCTCTTACTTGGCGGGAAATTTAAAGGTTCTTACTTGGCGGGAAATTTAACGGTTCTTACTTGGCGGGAAATTTAAAGGTTCTTACTTGGCGGGAAATTTCAAAGTACTTACTTGGAGGGAATCCATGGGGACGAAAACCTGCGCCACGCCCACATCACAGCCGCCGCCCCCACGCCCACACCCACGCCCACACCCACAGTTGTTTTATCCAACATCTGAAAGATCAAAAGGCGTTAAGTAAGTGCATACGATGTACACACACAGCAGTTACAGCACGGCAACTTTCCCGCCAAACACACACCGAAACTACAACGTTGGTACAACGTTCGAACAAGTTTTAACACCACCTAACCAGTTATAACAACCCATATAGCAAGTTGTAACAACGTTCTAATACGTCATAAACACGTTAAGCCAAGATATAACAACTTTATTACAAGTTGTAACAAGCGGAAAATAGAGACAGTTTCGGTTTGTAAAATATGAAAAGCAAAAGAAAGGCGAAAAGGACATACCTGGTTAAGCAAGGAGATACAAGGGCGAGGAGTAAATACAGAAATAAGAGAACGACAGAGAGCAGAGGGGCAGGAGTGAGTTCCAAAGCTTAAGACGAGACGCAGAAAGACAGTGTGAAAATGACATAGCTCCGAAAGCCAAGGCTGCTCCACAGTCACATGAGGAGGAAAACAAATAGGTAATGAACAGGTGGTGAAACTGAGAACGTGTGAGGACAGGCGTACAGAGAATGACAAGGAGGTGTGTGAAGCACTCAACTAGAGAGTAGTTCAGGAGGTCTTCACAATAGAACGAGAAGTCCCTGAACAAATCCACAAGGGCCGTGACGAGGATTCGAACCTGCGTCCGGGAGCATCCCAGACACTGCCTTAATCGACTGAGCTACGACAGGGTTAAAACCCTTTTAACCCTGTCGTAGCTCAGTCGATTAAGGCAGTGTCTGGGATGCTCCCGGACGCAGGTTCGAATCCTCGTCACGGCCCTTGTGGATTTGTTCATTTGACGCATCACGTTAGTGTGATCTCTGTGTGTAAAGTGCCTGAACTAAGATAGGTGGCAGTAAACCAGGCAGCCTGGAAACGGCTCGAAATTACCAGAGATGAGGTTAGGCGGTATCTGTTGGATCTTGATGTGAAAAAGACTGATGAACCTGACGGAATCACCCATGAATACTAAAAAGGTGTGCAGAAGCACTACGCGTGCCACTCTCCATGATATATAATTCATTTAATTCAATGTGTCAGGGGACAGGCAGCCAGAGTGTATGTATATACGTTAGGCTTATGTCGAGGTCACCTCCCCCCCCCCCCAGGATGCAACACCACAACAAGCTGACTAACTCCCAGGTACCTACTTACTGCTAGCTAAACAGGTGATAGGAAATGCGCCCAACCGTTTCTGTACCGCCCGGGATTCGAACCCGAAATTCTCGACTAGAACGAACCCGACTGTACTACTGAAACCCCTTTAAAAGTAAACTTATTAAGTCACTGGAGACGGGAGACCTACCAGAAATATGGAAGACGGCGAATGTGGTCCCAATATACAAAAAGGGCGACAGGCAAGAGGCACTGAACTACAGGCCAGTGTCCTTGACTTGTATACCATGCAAGGTGATGGAGAAGATCGTGAGAAAAAACCTGGTAACACATCTGGAGAGAAGGGACTTCGTGACAAATCGACAACATGGGTTCAGGGAGGGTAAATCTTGCCTGACTGGCTTAATAGAATTCTATGACCAGGTAACACAGATTAAGCAAGAAAGAGAGGGCTGGGCGGACTGCATTTTCTTGGATTGTCGGAAAGCCTTTGACACAGTACCGCATAAGAGGCTGGTTCATAAGCTGGAGAGACAGGCAGGTGTAGCTGTTAAGGTGCTCCAGTGGATAAGGGAGTATCTAAGCAATAGGAAGCAGAGAGTTACAGTGAGGGGTGAGACCTCCGATTGGCGTGAAGTCACCAGTGGAGTCCCACAGGGCTCTGTACTCGGTCCTATCCTGTTTCTGATATATGTAAATGATCTTCCAGATTGTATACTCATTCCTCTCATGGCTTGCTGACGATGCTAATAACATACAGGATCAAGACAAAGGAGGAGAGCATGAGGCTACAAGATGACCTGGATATACTGAAGAAATGGTCCAAACAATGGCTATTCGACTTTAACTCGAGCAAATGTAAAGTATTGAAGACAAGTGTAGGGAGCCAAATACAAGATGCCATTTGGGAGATGAAATCCTTCAAGAATCAGGGAGTGAAAAAGACCTGGGAGTTGATATCACGCCAGACCTGTCCCCTGAAGTCCACACGAAGAAGCTATCATCAGCGGCATATGCTAGGTTGGCCAACATAAGAACTGCCATTAAAAACGTGTAACGAATCATTGAGAACCTTGTATACCACTCATGTCAGACTAATCCTGGAGTATGCAGTGCCAGCGTGGAGTCCGTAAGATTCAAAGGAATGCCACATGAGCTGATTTTTTTTTATTAAGATATAAGATACATCTGCATTAGTGCAGCTACCCTAGACTATATGAAGTGGAGTACAGTGTGTCAAAAAACTAACTAGGCGATGCTAAGAAATCCCCATCACACAGGATGGTTAGTCATACAGAGGCATGTGATAAGCGGGCTGCACTGGCAGACTTCGGATGCATTTTGAGGATATCATCAACACAAGATTGAATAAGGTAGCAGTGGTAATACAAGTCCCCATCTCGCAGGATGGTTAGTCATACAGAGCCATGTGTTTAATAGCCTGCACTGGCAAATTTTGGGTATGAGCTACGAGGAAAGCCTAAGGGAACTAAAGCTCACGTCGCTGGAAGACAGAAGAGTTAGGAGAGACATGATCACCACATACAAGATTCTCAGAGGACGAGGTGTGGTCCTGAGGACCAAATGGAAGGTCTATCCCACTATGTCTTATACACGAGGAGGGAGACAGCGCTCACCTCCCAAACATGGCTAAAGAGACAACCAGTGGCCCACTCTAAAACCTGTACTAACATGGCCGTTATCACGTCATAGTGACGTAACACACATCGTCCACACCATATATAAAACTAAAAATTGATGTCGTATTTCCGTTAGGTTAAGTTAGGTAAGGTTAGGTTAGGTGAGGAGAGGTTGGGAGAGGCTATGTTAGGTGAGGTGAGGTTGGATTTGTTTAAAAAAAGAGGAGGGATGACGTTGATGACACATACTTTTCTCAGGTCTTAGACCCCACTCGGAGAGCGTGCGGGGGTTGCCAGGTGTCGCCCGGGCCCCATACATCAAGACCACACCTATATACTTTCTCCCTACCATGGCAATTTTGCCATACCTCTCCCCCCCCCCCCCTCTCCACTCCACCCCATCTTCTTTGTTACTTGCTGAACAAGTTTGAACACCTAACAAGTTGTAACAACGTTCTAATACGTCATAAAACCGTCATACCGAGATATATCAACCTTATTACAAGTTGTAACAAGCAGAAAATAGGGACAGTACGGGTTGTTGTGAAATTGAAATTGAAATAAGTTTATTGATGTAAAATCCACACAAAGGGATGAGGTAGCTGAAGCTATTCTCACCCCGTTCAGTACATCGTGTTAATACATACATAGACACACATCACAAACAATAAACATATTACCGAACATTCTGAGAGATAAACATATACATTTCCTACGGGTTGTTGTTGTTTAAGATTCGCTACCTGGAACGAAAAGTTCCAAGCAGCACGGGCTATGGTGAGCCCGTAACTTACCTGGCACAGGAGCGGGGCAAGTAGCACGGGCTATGGTGAGCCCGTAACTTACCTGGCACAGGAGCGGGGCAAGTAGCACGGGCTATGGTGAGCCCGTAACTTACCTGGCACAGGAGCGGGGCAAGTAGCACGGGCTATGGCGAGTCCGTAACTTACCTGGCACAGGAGCGGGGCAAGTAGCACGGGCTATGGCGAGTCCGTAACTTACCTGGCACAGGAGCGGGGCAAGTAGCACGGGCTATGGTGAGTCCGTAACTTACCTGGCACAGGAGCGGGGCAAGTAGCACGGGCTATGGTGAGCCCGTAGTGTGTTACGGGTTTGTGTTTGCAGGGTTAAGACAATAGCTCTCCACGTGTGTAAGTTATTAAGCTTGAAGACTGTACTTGTGGTGGGTCTCGAACCCTTTGATGCTGCAACAGCTGGGAGATGAGATAGCAATGCCTTACCAAACTGTATCTTAAGTTAAAAGAATTATTATCTCCCACGTGAGGTAAGATAAGAGTTTCCATGCGGTTGCTTGTCAGTCGGGTTAAACCCCTTAGGGTCTGAAAAGCAGATGGATGGTCTTGGCTATGAGTCACAATAATGTGGCTAAAGTTTGTTGACCAGACCACACACTAGAAGGTGAAGGGACGACGACATTTCGACTTGAGAATGGTCCAGGACGGAGCGAAACGTCGTCGTCCCTTCACCTTCTAGTGTGTGGGTCTGGTCAACAGCTGGATATGGTCTTGGCTAGAGATAGTTGGAAGTTGTAACGACTGCTCGTTAACTCCTCGTAATTGGGCCTCGGGTGATTGATATTTGAACATAGAATTTAGTAGATAATAACACTAACATGTATTGAGATATATACAAGAGTTGTTACATTCGTGTACAGCCACTAGTACGCGTAGCGTTTCGGGCAGGTCCCTGGAATACGATCCCCGCCGCGAAGAATCGTTTTTTCATCCAAGTACACATTTTACTGTTGAGTTAAACAGAGGCTACAGTTAAGGAATTACGCTCAGTAAATCCTCCCCGGCCAGGATACGAACCCATGACATAGCGCTCGCGGAACGCCAGGCGAGTGTCTTACCACTACACCACGGAGACTGTGTATGTTTGAATGTACGGGTTATGTGACTTGAAACCTTTATAAACAAATATATCTGTACCCGAATCGCTCTGCGTATTAATTATATATATTGCACTTGTCTTTTATATGTAAGTGAAGTACGGTCTCGCTTTATGCAGGTCAGCGTTCAATCCCCGACCGTCCACAAGTGGTTGGGCACCATTCTTTTCCCTTGTTCCATCCCAAATCCTTATCCTGACCCCTTCCCAGTGCTATATAGTCGTAATGGCCTGGCGCTTTCCCCTGTTAATGAAAGTCCAAATGAATAAAATGAAATGAAAAATAATAATAAATGAAATGACAATGAAAAATGATTGAACAATTTATTATTATTATTATTATTATTATTGGAAAAATGAAAATGAAAAATTATTATTATCATTATTGATATTACTGTTAAAACCCATATTCCAAATTATGCCATCATTCATAGAGGCCTACCTTCAACGTATAAGAACATATTGTTAAATATATAGAACTTGCTGTAAGAAAAGTTTTCTATTAGCCTCAAGTTCAAGTAAGTTTATTGAGATAATAAAATGCATTCCAAAATAACAAATAAAGAGTAACTTAGGCTATTTATGTGGTGTAGTGCAAGACCTTCAAGGGGACCCACAGATCAATAGAGTCTGTCACTAGGCGGCGCTGTAATTGACACGTGTACGAATGGGCTCAAAAGAACTTTGTAAAAATCTTGGCTGAGATGTGACTACAGATCCTCCACGCCCTCTGTAATCCTTTTTTTCATTACCGCACAATCACCAATACATAGTGAAACCCAAACGCTTTGCGTAATAGTGGCTTTAGGCATTGTATGTACTAGCTCTATCTATAAATCTATCATTTTTTGTAAAATCTCTTGTATGTATGTACCTTACCTGAATAAACATTTATTTATTATTTATAGAACACAGTGTTTTTATTATTATTATTATTATTATCTACCACAGACGTGGCCAGACATTTACAGTGCTAACCAGAATATATACATTTTCTTCTGTCCTCCATGGACAGGGTGAGAGATTTGTCAAACATATAGTTCAGGGATTTATTGAACAATCAACCACAGAAGGTGATTGTAGTGCTTTTAAAATGCTAGGCTGAGCTACATACGTAAATACACAGTGTTGAATGTCAGAGATTCACTTGCTGGCGGCCATGACTAGTGATAATGGTTGGTAGTGGGTGGGTATGTTTGGGTACGTACCCCATTAGATGGGGTGGTGGGGTGGGGGGGATGAAACTAGGAGATGGTATCTGGTCGTCCTCTTGGGAGGGGGTGGGGGGGAGGGGCGGGCATACTCGTCAGACCAGATATACCAGTTTGAGAACTGTGTACCTATGTTGTATTCCTCTTTCCACAGGCTTGGGTTGGTTTCATAGGCTAGTTCACTGGCTTGGGTGTATAGCCATATATATATACTGGTTCTAAGTGTATATTTCTTATCATAACTTTTCAAACAGTAATATTCATACATAAAACAATTTCTATTCATACAGTATATTAATTAGGCTTGTATCCATGACCGCCCCAAGGTCGACTTTCCCTTCAGGATACAAGTCCAGAGCAGTTACCTAACTCCTGGGGTACGCATTTACTGTGGGTGAACAGAGACATCAGGTGAAAGGAAACGTACCCAACTATTTCTGGCCCGCCAGGAAAGCGAAACCGGGTTGTAAGTTGAAAACGAAGCCGAATGTGCTACAATATTGTCGAATTAAAGAATCAGTAGACTTTGTACACTAAAACATTTTTTTCATAGTTAGTAAGTTTAGTTCATTTATTATGCGCCCCATAGCCATCTTGTGGGCGGTAGTGGAAAGGGTTACAGAGGCACATAATGGGCTCAGGGACTCAACCCCACAATTCATTTAGCTAAGCAAGTTACAATCTTGATGAGTTAGTTACAACATTCAGTCTAAGTCGTCACATCAACAATGGGTTCGAGATCGACCTCAAGTACAGGTTCTAAATTAAGCAAGTGACATATGTGGAGAGCCTAGTGTCACAATTGATATGTTTGTCCTGCACACCGCCCCCCATCCAGTGGGTAGCGGTGGATAGGTTACAATCACTTAGTTACTACCTACAGTACAGTTAGCAAACTGGGGATATTTGGATAATATTTCTGGTAGCAGATCATTTCGAATGAAATATTTACACATCGTTGGAACATTGGTTATAGAATTGTCTCTAAATTCACGATCTTTTCGCACTCCATCACATAGTGACGGAGGGTGTGCGAATAATTTTGTTGACACAGTTTACATTTGGTCAGGTCTACATCAGCAGATAATGAGAACTCCCAGAGATACTTGTAACCGAGCAGTAGTAACATCTAGAAGTCTGCTGATTCTATTGGATGATCCATAGATGTGTGGCTCCTCTTGCATGATAGTTCGTAGATATAGTTAAAACTTTAGTTTAAAAGTGTGTTGAGCAGTGAGAGGTAGACACCTACCTCCATGCTGCTGGTCGAGCAGTGAGAGGTAGACACCTACCTCCATGCTGCTGGTCAAGCAGTGAGAGAGAGAGGTAGGCACCTACCTCCATGGTGCTGGTCAAGCAGTGAGAGAGGTAGACACCTACCTCCATGCTGCTGGTCAAGCAGTGAGAGAGAGAGGTAGACACCTACCTCCATGGTGCTGGTCAAGCAGTGAGAGAGAGAGGTAGGCACCTACCTCCATGGTGCTGGTCAAGCAGTGAGAGAGAGAGGTAGGCACCTACCTCCATGGTGCTGGTCAAGCAGTGAGAGAGGTAGACACCTACCTCCATGGTGCTGGTCTAGCAGTGAGAGAGAGAGGTAGACACCTACCTCCATGCTGCTGGTCGAGCAGTGAGAGAGAGAGAGGTAGACACCTACCTCCATGGTGCTGGTCTAGCAGTGAGAGAGAGAGGTAGACACCTACCTCCATGCTGCTGGTCGAGCAGTGAGAGAGAGAGGTAGACACCTACCTCCATGGTGCTGGTCTAGCAGTGAGAGAGAGAGGTAGACACCTACCTCCATGCTGCTGGTCGAGCAGTGAGAGAGAGAGAGGTAGACACCTACCTCCATGGTGCTGGTCTAGCAGTGAGAGAGAGAGGTAGACACCTACCTCCATGGTGCTGGTCTAGCAGTGAGAGAGAGAGGTAGACACCTACCTCCATGCTGCTGGTCGAGCAGTGAGAGAGAGAGAGGTAGACACCTACCTCCATGGTGCTGGTCGAGCAGTGAGAGAGAGAGAGGTAGACACCTACCTCCATGGTGCTGGTCTAGCAGTGAGAGAGAGAGGTAGACACCTACCTCCATGCTGCTGGTCGAGCAGTGAGAGAGAGAGGTAGACACCTACCTCCATGCTGCTGGTCGAGCAGTGAGAGGCTGCTGGTCGAGCAGTGAGAGAGAGACACCTACCTCCCTGGTGCTGGTCGAGACGTCACTGCGATGCGCACAGATAGACGTCCAAGGTCCTCAGCTTCTTGATAATTACTCATCTCATATACAACGAACATCACAGATAATTCAATAGGATAACCACTGTTCTAGTGCTCTAGTGTTGTTTACAAAAATATTGATTTATTAGACTTGTTGGGAGTATTATATGAAGTGTTTACAGCGGTGAAATTGTTGTTGAAATTGTTAGGCTGGCGAGGCTGTGGGCGAGGCTATGTTCTTGGCGCCTAACATGGTTATAATTGTAGATTCTGGCTCAAAAGTTGGATATTAATATGTGTTTGTGTTTTCTCTAATGTTATGGCTACTCCTACTCTTATTATCGACTCTAGCTTTGTTACAATGACGCTTCCTATGACATATTTTGGAAAACAAAAAATAACTAGAAAATATCCACAGTTGATGTCATTAAGGTCGCCTTAGAAGTACTGCCATATTAAGAAACTTTTACAATTGTCTTTATCAATAAAACGCTAAAACTCCAATAAAATAAAAGTGTTTGAGCCATTACTTGACTTTGATGCCAAATGTATGTCTAACAGTTGAACAGCTGTTGATGTTTCTTCACCTATTTTCAAGACGTGTTGCCAATTTTCTCTGCAGCGGGGACTAAGTAATCTTGGAACATTCAATATTTACCAAACTTTCTTTTCGCTTCAAGCTGGGGCTCTGTCAGAGCCAGAGACACAGGTTTATGCGTAGTTCAACGCAGTAATGTGTGTATGTAAGCATGACTTCGTTCTATTATAATTTAAATGAATGTTTGTCTTGCGAAAACCGGTTTAAGGAGGGTTATGTTGTATGTACGAAGCGCCAGCGCCTGGTTAGTATGCAGTGTGTACCGTACCTCCTGTTCCTGTGACCGTAGTTTGAGTCCCCATGGTATTGTTATGAATTCCAGGATAACTTGCGTTATATCTAATAACACCTTAGCTCGATATTTTATTATATATGTGATTATATATATAGTATATCTAATATATATAGAGACTGTAGCAAATTCTAATGACCTGTATGTAGCCAACCTGGCCTGGGCATAGCCTAAACTATCCTTGGTCTAAGCTTCGGACTACCCTACCTTACCTTACCTTGAGGTTACCTTGAGGTGCTTCCGGGGCTTAGCGTCCCTGCAGCCCGGTCGTCGACCAGGCCTCCTGGTTGCCGGACTGATCGACCAGGCTGTTGGACGCGGCTGCTCGCAACCTGACGTACGAATCACAGCCTGGTTGATCAGGTTTCTTTTGGAGGTGCTTATCCAGTTCTCTCTTGAACACTGTGAGGGGTCGGCCAGTTATGTCCCTTATGTGTAGTGGAAGCGTGTTGAACAGTCTCGGGCCTCTGATGTTGATAGAGTTCTCTCTCAGAGTACCTGTTGCACCTCTGCTCTTCAACGGGGGTATTCTGCACATCCTGCCATGTCTTCTGGTCTCATGTGATGTTATTTCTGTGTGCAGGTTTGGAACCAGCCCCTTTATTAGGGGCTAGTCCCCCCTCTAGCCTTGATTTAATGTAGCCCCTAGCCTAATCTAATCTTGGTTAAATCTAACGAGGGACGTAACTAAACCTTTGGCCAAACTATTCTAAGTCAAACCTAATTTGGCCTATCATCATATGTAGATTTAGCTATGAATAACCTAGTGTTTGTACTATGTACTATCAATGCTAACAATATAGTAGTCATTAATATTAAGGCTATTATGACTTTTAAATTTGACTTCTCAGCTTATATATATATATATATATATATATATATATATATATATATATATATATATATATATATATATATATATATATATATATATATATATATATATATATATATATGCATTTTTCAACGCTCCTCAAATAAAGAAAAGCATACACACATACATCAAGTATTTCTAAAAGAATAAATGCAATGATATAGTGAGCTGTTGGTGGGTGAAGACAGCACAGTTGGGCCGAGCATTGCGAAATTTAATGAAGTGTTTTAGTAATTACATGTGTGAGACAAGTGGTTGGTTGCTGGGTGGCCAGCACCCGTAGTCAGTGCCCCCTCACATATATATATATATATATATATATATATATATATATATATATATATATATATATATATATATATATATATATATATATATATATATATATATATATATATATATATATATATATATATATATATATATATATATATATATATATATATATATATATATATATATATATATATATATGTCGTACCTAGTAGCCAGAACTCACTTCTCAGCCTACTATTCAAGGCCCGATTTGCCTAATAAGCCAAGTTTTCCTGAATTAATATATTTACTATAATTTTTTTCTTATGAAATGATAAAGCAACCCTTTTCTCTATGTATGAGGTCATTTTTTTTTATTGGAGTTAAAATTAACGTAGATATATGACCGAACCTAACCAACCCTACCTAACCTAACCTAACCTATATTTATAGGTAAGGTTAGGTTAGGTTGCCAAAAAAGCTAGGTTAGGTTAGGTTAGGTAGGTTAGGTAGACGAAAAAACATTAATTCATGAAAACTTGGCTTATTAGGCAAATCGGGCCTTGAATAGTAGGCTGAGAAGTGCGTTCTGGCTATTAGGTACGACATATATATATATATATATATATATATATATATATATATATATATATATATATATATATATATATATATATGTCGTACCTAATAGCCAGAACGCAATTCTTGGCCTACTATGCAAGGCCCGATTTGCCTAATAATCCAAGTTTTCATGAATTAATGTATTTTCGTCTACCTAACCTACCTAACCTAACCTAACCTAACTTTTTCGGCTACCTAACCTAAGCTAACCTATAAAGATAGGTTAGGTTAGGTTAGGTAGGGTTGGTTAGGTTCGGTCATATATCTACGTTAATTTTAACTCCAATAAAAAATAATTGACCTCATACATAATGAAATGGGTAGCTTTATCATTTCATAAGAAAAAATTAGAGAAAATATATTAATTCAGGAAAACTTGGCTTATTAGGCAAACCGGGCGTTGCATAGTAGGCTGAGAAGTGCGTTCTGGCTACTAGGTACGACATATATATATATATATATATATATATATATATATATATATATATATATATATATATATGACAATGTCAGACCACGGAGGAAAAATGAAACAGGAATTTCCTTAAGTACTTTCGTATATTAATACATCTTCAGAAGGAGTCCTTCTGAAGATGTATTAATATACGAAAGTACTTAAGGAAATTCCTGTTTCATTTTTCCTCCGTGGTCTGACATTGTCACATTTTTAATCACGTGTTTACTTTCGTGATACACACACACACACATATATATATATATATATATATATATATATATATATATATATATATATATATATATATATATATATATATATATATATATATATCATTGTTTAAAATTTAACTATCTTTATCTATTAAACCATTTTCATCAAATAAACCTTCGTTATCAATTATCCCATATTTATCAAGTCAATTTTCATTACCTATTAAGTTAAAATATCTTCATCAAATATATCATCATTTTCAATTCAACTATCTTGCTTTTTTCCTTATATTTTGCAATGCTCGTTGTATCATATACACATTTAAATTTAGATAGAAGGTGCTTATTGCGATACTTCAGAGGTATTGTAGTAGTATATAATACTATATATTATTATATAAATAGGTCGGTATATCAACCGTTTTGTGTTTAACCAGGTCGGCGTTCGAGTTTTCAATGACCCAAGTGGTTGGGCACTTTTCCTTCATCCCGTCCTCATATCCCAGCACCTTGTCCTCGTATCCCGGCTCCTTGTCCTTGTATGCCAGCTCCTTGTCGTCATATCCCAGCTCCTTGTCCTCATATCCCAGCTCCTTGTCCTCATATCCCAGCTCCTTGTACTCATATCCCAGCTCCTTGTCCTCTTATGCCAGCTCCTTGTCCTCATATCCCAGCTCCTTGTCCTCATATCCCAGCTCCTTGTCCTCATATCTCAGCTCCTTATCCTCGTATCCATCTCATTGTCTTCATATCCCAGCTCCTTGTCCTCATATCCCAGCTCCTTGTCCTCATATCCCAGCTCCTTGTCCTCATATCCCAGCACCTAGTCCTCATATCCCAGCTCCTTGTCCACATATCCCAGCTCCTTGTCCTCATATCCCAGCTCCTTGTCCTCATATCCCAGCTCCTTGTCCTCATATCCCAGCTCCTTGTCCTTATTTCCCAGCTCCTTGTCCTCATATCTCAGCTCCTTGTCCTCATATCCCTCCCAAATGCTATATAGTCATACTGGCTCAGCGCTTTCTTCTCGTAATTACCTAACCTCCTCTCCGTACTTTGTGCAATGTTTGAGAATGGTCCCAGAAGCCTATCCATATCTTAGAAGCCTATCTCTATTTCAGAAACTTTTCTGTCCGAAGCATGCTCAATATTTTTGCAACAGCTCATTGAAAGGTCCGCTTGGAGGATGGGTGGAGAATGATTTCAACCTCACTAAGCCAGAGTACGAAAGTGTAGTTCAAGAACTTATATAAATTCTTGCACAATGTGTAGAAATTTGCCCTTGCAACAGCGTGAATACAGAATCATACTTTATATCTTAGTACGAGATATATTGAACATATTATAAAGTGTATACGGGTTTATATTTTCCATGGGGATAGGCAGTCATTGGCACACAGAGAGAATTTTAAATTTTTAAATTTTGCCCCGAGGGGCGAGTTTATTAGGCAGCGCCACTCATCCTGTGGGTGGACACACCGCCATAGCAGCATGTACAATACTTCCCAATAGGAAGAAAACCCGCTGGGTTGTTCATCCTGTCACTTGTACCCAGACACAGCTGGGACTTGAGAGAAAAACCATTATTAAACCATTTTCATCAAATAAACCTTCGTTATCAATTATCCCATATTTATCAAGTCAATTTTCATTACCTATTAAGTTAAAATATCTTCATCAAATATATCATAAT